GAGTCATTGATGTTGATGAAAGAAATATTCAAACAAAGCTGGCGCAATAGTCGAAGATAATTCGCCGTACACAAAGTTCGCGGGTATAAAGTATAGGGTGTGAGGCCGCGATGCTTTGAAATAATAGCTCATGGGTCTTGTGAAACATACACCTGCCTACATAGATCAAGGATAGAATCATAGGTTTGTTATTACAATTCGATATCACAATACCAGCGATCGGATGGGCCGAGGTCGCATTGCCATAATTATCTTCCAAAATTTCAAATCCACTACTTTAAGTAGTGCCATTCGTTAATTTTTCGAATAATTAGATTGGATGAAAATTCATTGATTTTGAGGACGATTAAAATAATGACTACTTTTAACGTGGTTCGCGAATGGATCGATTGTGATGCTAACACAGTAGTAACTTTGGTGCATGTGACTTTGAGTTCGGGTCTGTCCCTGAATGAAACTGTATGATTGTACCATACGAATCAATGTGTCTTTATAAAATGATTCTACGACACTGAGTGCTTATTTCAAAGCCTTATGTTTAAAAAATACAAAGGAGAATTCGGTATATTCCGTATAGCAATTATTAAAATAAAAAGTAAAGTAAAGTAACAGCCTATATATGTCCCAATGCTGGGCAAAGTCTTCTTCTACAGAGGTTAGTCTCTGCAGCATAGTCCACCACGTGGCCCCATTGCGGATTGGCGGACTTCACATTGTTTCAAAAATTTTTTTTGATATTATTTCGAAAATATGCAGGTTTCCTCACGATGTTTTCCTTCACCGCTGAGCACGCGATAATTCAGCACTTAAAATTGACAATTTCATTGGTGTCGGCATCCACGATCGAACTCAAGTTACTCGAGTATACTCGTATTGAATTAAAGGCGAGCGCCCGGAAACAGCTATCACGGCTGTAATTTTTCACGGTTGTAACTTTAAATAATAACCACCTAAAGAAATCCTGTGGCCTGATGCGCAAGGATGACTGAGTAATATATTAAAACAGTACATAAGTTTTTAGGAACAGAATTTATTATTCAAGAATTAAATTGAGCGAATGTTTTAATAATCTGACCCTGGATTATTAAAATTACGCAATGTATTTTAAAATAAAAGTTTAAGCATCATGGAGAGATAACATTGGCAAAAGATTGAGGAAAAACGTATAATTATTAACAACACCTCGAGTAATTCGCATACAAGTGTTAACAAAATATTTTATTTCACTTTACCCCAATTTTTGTTGCATTGAGGTAAAGTGTTGTAGCAGTTGTTGATATTGTTTACCATTACAGTAATAAATATCCTCTTTGTCGGATTTCTTAATTTATATAAAAAACTAGCGACCCTCCCCGGCTTCGCACGGGTGCAATGTATTATACATATGAACCTTACTTACTCTTGAATCACTCTATCTAGTAAAAAAAACCGCATCAAGATCCGTTGTGTAGTTTTAAAGATCTAAGCATACATAGGGACATACAGACAGCGGAACGACTTTGTTTTATACTATATAGTGATGCACAGCAAAGAAACGTTTACATATCAAGTGACATTTTACCACAGTCACTTATTTGTTTTGCCTTCCCGGAACCCCTTTCTCTAACACTTAAACTTTATGGTATGGTATTAAAGTTCAAATTGACTTTTAAGTATTATTAGGAATCTTTTTTGCGGGAATATAGAAGTGTTTTTTTTTTAGACTCTTTCAGGCAATTTTTTAAATTTTTCCTTTCATAAGAATCTTCTCCTGATAATAACAAACACAACAAAAAAAAAGAGAAAATCTGTCCAGCCGTTCACGCGTGATGGAGTGACCAAGGGAAATAGGGATTCATTTTTATAAATATATAAGATAAGACTATTTTACACAATAACCATTGAACTCGATTCGCGTATTGGATAGTGAAACTGTCTCTTGTTCCAAAGGGTGTGCATTCGATTTCCACTGCTGGGAAAATACTTGGGATAAACTATTTATTTATTTTTCTTTTGTCACGCTAAAGAAGTATAACTTCGTACGTACATAAGTACATACACGTTTTTTTATATGTAGATTATTGTTTGAGAATTTACGCGAGTGGAAGATAAAATTAACTGATCTTGCATGAGTCTAAATATCAAAAAATGTTATCGTAATATTGATCGTATCTTGCTTGACCTATGGCTTATGACCTGGTTAGTCCCTTCTTAAACCAAACTGTTTATTTTAATGACTTAGCATTTATAAAAAAACATTTCTGTTTAAAGGCAAAGTAAGTATCTAAATAACCTTTTTATAGAAAATATGATTAGCAAAATATTATATATAAACTGAAGCCGGTAATGGTATCACAAATTATTAAATAAAAACATTTTCTATTATGTTCGTAAGATTGAAAATAAACTTCTAAATATTTTGTTATCATTATTTGTCTGACAGTTACGTGAAGCTTGAATATGTGTACTCAGTTTACTAAGAACACGTGCATGTGAGAAGATCACGACAAAGCAAGATATAACATTTGCTACCGAAACGACACACATTTTTTTTATTTTAAGACACGAAAGATTGAATCATAGGTGCTTGCCATCAGCTTTTGAATTCGCAACCTCATTAGGCAACATCCTATCCACTTTGTCATCACTTATATGCACAGACGTTGACCTATATTGACTGGTTATAGAACACGTAATTGAGACTGTCAGTTTCAATTTCAGGCCTATTAAGACATCACATTTTCACATTAATACTATTAATATCTCTCGTTAAATCTTATATTCTTAACCAATAAAATAACTAATAAACTCTAGCTAACAGACTCCGTGGAGCAGATGGCTTCGGCGCCATGGGTCGTGAGTTCGATTCCCACTCAGGACAACTATTTGTGTGACCCACATATGTTACTACAGATCTAATTAATTGTGAAAAGTACCCAAATGGTACATGAACAAAATTAACAAATAACAGCCTTAAGTTTTATTAGATCTCAATCTATCATTGAGTTTACCATATCGTAAGCGTTCATTGCATTTGTAATATTTAATTTATATTGGCTTTCACAAGCAATGGCGAAGAATGCACATCGATGGGTATCTGTGAGCTTATCGCAACATCTTGAACATCAATTAATGGGCTCGGTGGGCCTGGCTCTGATGCAAGAAGCACTGGCAAAACGTGATTTCAAATTCTAAGTTGCACGGAAGGGTTTTAATGTAGAAACAGCATTCGTATTTGATATAATGCATGTTGTGCGACCTATTATAATAAATGAAATGTGTTTGCGTGGGTCTAAAATAGATTATCTTTTTTGGCACGTACTTTTATGTTCAAGTAGGCATATTATGTATTTCCCGGTCCGACTTCGATTATAAAAAATATTTTTCTTTAACTAGTAAAACAAAATTGTTTATATTTTCCCAAAATACATTTTTTTTTAAATTATTTTTGTAATTAGGTTAACAGTTGAATAACATGGTTGTGTCCGTGTTTTTTAATTAATCGCTGTTAGTTTAATGGACATGTGTAGTTTATCTACAACCATCTGTAGCCTGGTAGTAACGGCACATCAGTTGCATAAAACACTCCAGACCGTTGCACAATCAGGCAATTCACTCTCGTTGCCTGTCTTGCCTGCTAGCCATTGTCGCGCACGCGCTTTACTGGGAACTTTCCCGCGAAACTGGACAAAAAGCGCGGGAACGGCCCCAAAACAATGACGGCCGACATAACGCTCCAAATGTTATCTGTTGCCTTAGCACCGGCTCGCAGCTTACAACATCGTCAATGTTCTCATTGTTTGTTCTAGAATAGACGTTGGGTTTATTTATCTTAATGGCAGTCATAACGAAGACGATTTTTAAAGGTGATAAACTGTCTAATTATTTTTATATATCGATATACGATGAATATCCTGATAGTAAAATTACGGAGTGTGAATAAATTTTAAACAACTTCTGAACTAAATTCATATAACGGTAGGACATTTGATTTAATGGTCTGAAATAGACATCCCAATTGAGATTAATGAGAAGGAAAATCTATAGAAACCACGTGCAACCTTACTTAAGATTCATGTCCATGAGCAGCGGTAATCCGTAAATTATTATTATTATTATTATTTAACGGTGGTAGGGCCACGCAGCAGCCTCGGCTGTTACACGAATATGCAGGCCCGTCCGGGTAAGTACCACGACCTCACAGAAGACCGGCGTAAAGTGGAAGTATGACAAATACTTTCGCGTTTCGTCTGGTGAGTGAGGTAGCCGGAGCCCAATCTTCAAAAGGTTGTCAACGCATCTGTAGCCCTCGGGTGTAGCAGATGTCCATGCGCGGCGGTATTCACTTACCATCAGGTGAACCGTCTGAACGTTTGGCAAGTTTTCACATAAAAAAAAAAAAATATTGGCTAAGCCGTTTGCCTACTTCATTTGAAAAAAAAAGGTTTTTATTATTCTTTATCGTGAATTAATTTCTCAATTATGAATTACAAAAGAATCTATACTTCCATATAGTATAGATTCGATATAGTGTAGGTAGTTCGCGTAGTAGGTCACATTTACAACAAATTTTGCAAAGAAATAGGTCAAATATCACTCAACAAGAGTAACTTTTCTGATATCTTATCAATAAAATTTTATTAAAACTACTTTTAATAAAAATTTAAAAATGTTCAAAAGTATTTGTTTCTTGTTTACGTTTGTAACATTGCATACACATCCATTCATTCCATGTCTGCACAAGAATTTCAATATGCAATCAATTTGAATTGCCAATCGGTTTACAAACAAAAGATGTAAACAAACAAACAAACAAGCAAAATTCGCAAGAACTTGCCCCCATTCACTCGCAGTTATAGTACAGACAAAGACCCGTTGCGTACTACGCGGACTGATCATCCCATCACGTGAACTTTCAAATTCCTTAACAATCAGCACTTAGAAGTGGCGAAATGATTGCCGAAAGTGAAATAAGCGCAAAAGAACCTCTGGACGATTGAGCGTTGGGATTTCTTAACACAATGGTAAACGGCAATTATGTGTTGTACGGGGACCGGCCGTCCTCGGAGTCCGAAATCGTCGAGGACCACGTGCACGCGCGCACGGCCGAGCGAAAGCCCAGGAGGAAGGCGAACAGGAGTGCGAACGAGCTGCAATTCTCGCTGAACCTCGCCCAGCTGGACAACGAGACGGACTCCGTCAAGTACGAGAAGAGGGCGAAGGAGCCGCGGCTGCTGCGCTACGTGCCCACCACGGATGTGGAGGAGCACTTCGTGAGCGAGAAGTTCGAGACGTACGACCTAAAGCCCACCGAGGAGCCGCCCAGGCGATACGCCTTCGCCAAGAAGCCAAAGAACCCCGCCGACGGCTCGGTGAACTACGCGTACTCGAGGTCCAGCAGCAGCTGCAGCTCGCCGAACGGGAACCTGCCCACGATCTCCGAGCAAGGGGAGCAATATGGCACGTACCGCGTGCGCGGGGTGCACGCCGCCGACGACGAGCCGGCCACCGCCTACGAGACGAAGCTGGACAAGTACTTCGCCAGGCCCCGAGACCGAGACGTGAAGACGTTCGTCGCTAAGGTGAGCCGGCGTTTCGCCGAGTGATTTCGAAACGAAAACGCGCAAGCGACGATGCGGTTTTTAAAAAGATACTATATTGAAATAAAATTATACTAATACAAAAAAAAAGGAACTTAATTTACTTTGATGTTCAGCTTTCTGTTATCTGGCATCTTTTCGTGAAATACCCAGATGCCATAAGCTAGATATGGCCATCCGCGTTGGGTAGGGCCGGGATATGCTCATGCGTGCATTAGTGCAATGGGGAGGAATGTCACTTACGGGTCTTCGATGAGGACATTGCGCAGGCGACGTTTGAGAACGGTATTGGGATTGTGTCATGCCAACCAATTTCTGTGGCATCAATTAAAAATCCACGATTCGGCTTAATTCATATATAACACGAATGCTGCATAATATATCGGTAGGTAAACCTGATGTGCGGTAAGCAACACACCCCGTGTGTCGCTCAATATAGGGGTCGTGACGTATGCTGTGCCAATTGCACCGGCACAGCACCGTAGTATAAGAGGCCTAAAAAGGCCATAGTCGCGCCGGGTTCACGGAAGAATGCGTCCACGTGTTCCCGGATCCCCGGCCGATACGACAGAGACAGGTGCAACGTGGGTTTTTAGTGGGTACCCGTTCTTATCGGGACTCCCACATACCCCTGCCACTCTCCCGATCCAGTGGCAGGATATTCATAAAGAATTTTTTCCACGAACGAAGGTGAACCTGATGTTTGATAGTAAAGATAATAAAGATAGTTAAAGCGACTTCATTCGGATTGTTGGCTCACGTGGACATATATGTTTCGAACACTACTACCATTTACAGCACAACGTTTAGGCACTGACACATATGTTTCCAGTTTCTCTCCAAACAACTCCAAACATTGGATTTTTTCTTAAAATATTTAAATGAATATATAAATGCCACTGCCTACTAGAGTATACGTTGTTCTAGACATAAATTTTGTAATACATACTAGTTCAATCTATTTCAATAAGAATTAATAAAGCTAAATTGAATCAGCTTATACAATTCTAAATTCATTGATTAATTAATACGTCTAATATGTTAATATTAAATTACGTAATTGTTTTATATAATATTTCCCCTTATAAAGTATGTGTTAACAACGTCTCTAAATCACAGCCCACTTCCAATTACAGTTTTCGAAAGAATTCACAATGAATTGCTTGTATGATTTATCATAACAGCAGATTTTATGGAAACATATCGCTAACAGCATTTCAATAAAACGAATGTAAATTGTTATTTGATGATCGTGTGAGAAAATATTTTAATACATTTATGATGATATTTCACACACAATAAAGATTCAAATTTTTATACATTATTACCTACATTCCTACTTATATATTTAAAATAATGTTCCTGGAAACGACAAAGTCAATAACAAGATTGCTTTTATAATGTTTTTTGTTGACTACAATTCTTAACAACTTGAATTTGTCAATATTATACAACTTTCACAAAGGTCAACTCGTATACAATGATGTCGATAACTCCAACTCGAGTTTAACAAAATATTGCCACTTAATTGTGTATAAATTATACCACCTTTTATTGTATTTAAAAAGTTACGAGTTTCATTTACATTCTGCAGCTTTCTTTAACTCAAATGATAAAATAAATACAATATAATCCGGTAATCACGTAACGGACATGATCAAGTTGATCAGGACGTGTTTTTGTAAATCAGTGTTGTAAATTAGTCGCAAAAGTCGTTTCTAATTAGTAAACCTATAAAGCTTGCTTACCTAATACATAAATTATTAAAAAAAACTTTTTAATTCAATCATCTACAAATTAAAAATTTAAGCTTAGCATAAGAAAGAAAAGAATTATGTCATTTTAAACTTCATCGGTTATGTTAAAACATTGTAATGAAAACTGGAATTTTGACTTTCCAAACAGTGAACGAATAAAACATTTGATCGCTTTATTCGTTCACTGACTTCAACACATAGGTACTTTTACATTATGTCTAGGTTGTTTTCTCTATATGATCAGAACCAATTAATTATTTAATAGTCTATCTTAACATTTAAGGAGTCTATACTGAACAAAACTAGCTAGACCATCTATACTTAGCGTAATATAAAACCTAGTTACGGTCGGTGGTTACTGCTTCGTAAGCGCAAAGACAACCTGGCAGAGACATTATATAATATGACAGTATAGATGGAAGTAATGTCAGGTATTATGAGTGTTTAATCTAATTAACTCTTTCCAGGGTTCTCACCCAGACAGTCTGTACCGGGTGCCCATGGGTAGCAGCGTAGGTGCGAGCAAGATCGGCCGGATACTCCGCGTGCTGCGATGGCCGGTGGCTTTGTTCAGCGTGTGCGTCGCCTTGGCTATCTTCGTGTACTTCCTTATGCCTGGTATGTGTCCACTCATCATCCTACTGCCCTTATCCCACCTAGGTGGGGTCGGTATAACATGTGAATCATGTTGGAAGCGGTTTTGGCTGTGTTTTTACGACCTGCCGCCTGCCTGACGTCAACCCTTAAGACTGGCCGGCTAACATAACTAAAGCAAACAACCGGATCTGAAACAATTATCTGTTGGTTATACAAAAACTTGTCACGTGTCTCACACGACTCCTGTATATCAAATTCTAGATCAGCGTAAGTGTGTAAGTTTAGAAGTCGCTTCCTGTCAATAATTTACATAAGAACGCTTTTTGTCAATATTTTACTTTTCAATTTCTTAAAGAGCCCCTTAAAATGAAATGGAATGAATGAAATCGTGAGTTACTATTTTGTGGTATTTTTATCTGCACGAATTCGACTTTAACAGATTCGATTTACGGTAAATTTACGAAAAAGAAGAACAGTAAATAAGTAGTGCCTTACCATAGTTATATAGTATCACAAAATCAGATTGAGTTATTGCCCTCATTTGAAAATAATACTTATGCATAAAGAAAAAACAAACATTACCAACATAATATATGACAATAACATTCTTTATAATTCCGGTTTGTTACAAAGTATGAAATATACAGGATGAATATGTGAGTAATATTGGTTGAAAAAAGTTGTATATGAAGCAGGAAGAAAGCTTGAGGCATCGAGACAACTTTGGAGCAAATGTATTGCGGAAATCACTTAGATTGTGTTACGTAAATTAAAGGATTAATGATAAGTAGTAATAGAAAACATACCTTACCTAACTTTTTAGCACTTTCAGATTTGTGAAATATATAATTCTGTAAACTGTTGACTATAAATAGATAAATTAATTAGTGACTTGAACGTGTCCAATTTTGTTATAATTTATGCACTCGCTTTAAATTTCGCCCTCGTTAGGACTTGTGGGCATAATTACTAATACATTTTGTCATGGGTAAATATACACTAATAATAATTTAGTTTCATATTTCGATAAAACGCCTCATGGCACGTTTTCTCTGCTTCATTGACACTGTAAAATTGCTAGTTTTTTGTCAAAAGTAATATTTAATTCAATGTCAACAATGACAACGCAATATATTGTGCTAAGCGTAGTGATACCAAACTTTATCAGTAGTAATGTCGGAAGCTTTTGAGCAATATAAAGTTGTTTATCGTGACAACTGTCATAACGAGCTTTTTAAGCGGATTTATAAAGTGGTGAAATGTAGCATGTTAGAACTGTATAGGTCACGATTGTCGTAACAGCAACCGTTGCGTCACTTACCACAGACTTCCGTTTGTGGCTGTAGTGGCGCTTTTATGATTGGCCCATCTCGGTGGCCAAATATCCAGGATATTTGGCCACCGAGATGGGCTTTTAGAAATTATAGCATGACTCATGTTTTAGTTTGAAAAATACCAGCGGAGTATTTGTTATTATTAAGCAGAAGGATGATAATCTAAAGACCTGTTTTGAGCTGCCTCTACGGAAGATCGAGCCATTTTGTTAAACTTTCGTAATTAAATGTATTATTATGGAGCAAAATAAATTAAATATGACTTATAGGTGTGTGGTAGATCTTTAAAAAGAAGATAAGGGGTTAAGAGATAAGACGAAAGTTAATTGTGAAATTAGATTTCGTCGTATCTCTTATTGGCGCGTTTTGAAGAAAAAATAGACACATATAAATGTATGTACTTTAACTTTTCCGTTCTTTTCATTTGAATAGAAAATATATTTGTTGCACGAATAGCTCATCCAAGCAATTAAGCACCTGTAACCTGTAACTATATGGTTAACTATATTTCTTATACGGATAGTGGCGTATACAGATATCAGACAGGGTATGCATTAAAAACCTTTAGCCTTGTTTCGGTGACTATATACTCGCCTTTAACTGCACGGCGCCATTGGTTTTACATAATCCATATGTAGTGGTCACTTCGTGACAGTGTATATAGTGCAGCAATTAAACACGATTCTAAGTTATTCCTCTCATACAAATGTACAGTACAATTATGTAAGAAAATATATGTAAATCTTTAAAAACACGAATTCACTACGCACTTGTACTTCTACGCACTAACGGTGGTCGGGCCACGCAGCAGCCTCGGCTGTTGCACGAATGGGCAGGCCCGTCCGGGTAAGTACAACGACCTCTCAGAAGACCAGCGTAAAGTGGAATTATGACAAATACTTTCGCGTTTCGTCTGGTGAGTGAGGTGGCCGGAGCCAATTTTTTCAAAAGGTTGTCAACGCATCTGGAACCCTTGGGTGTGGCAGATGTCCATGGGCAGTGGTATTCACTTAACATCAGGTGAACCGTCTGCTCGTTTGAAAACTTTTAGGATAAAAAAAAAATTAAGTGAAGCGAAGCCAATGCAAGACCTTTTTTGCCGGAATATGAATCACACAAAATCCTGGGAATAGATGTCATAGAGCAGGTCGTTCACCTGATAAAAATGATTTCCCCGCCAATGGACACTAACAAAATTAGAAGCGTTGCTGATGCATTTCCAACTTTAATGTAAAGTGGGCCCCGTATACCATACTCATTAGGCCAAACGCGGAAGGACAATACTACTCGAAGCCAGTATTCTATAAGGCTATGATACTTCCCTCAACGATCCTGCGCTTTCGTGAAATTGCAGGAACTGCTGCGCTATCACGGTCGTATAATCTTTTTATGCGTGTAGTAATACTTTGCAAATTTTCATACGTTCATTTGAATCTTTGCGAATACACGGCAACCTCGACACGAGTATAGGTACTAAGAAACCATTAAAAGGGTAAAATATGAGTTAAAGAATTCGGCAGTTACGAAACATAAAATAACTTTCAAAACAATTACGGTTGATCATTTATGCGTGCGCAAATGTTCACTTTGATAAAAGCAATAAAAGCCAATTGGTGTCTCGTAAAATCTTCGATCTCCTCATAAATATTCGACCGCTTTCCCGATTCGCACGCGAAGGGATATCTTAAAAGGCGCATTAAATTACCATAACCACCGCACATACATTTGCATGCGAGCGGTCTTCTCTGTCATGGTCCTGTTTTCGGATGTCTCCTTAAGACGCTCTGAAATTGTCTCTTTTATTTGCTAAAGCTGGTGAAAATGAAAGTTGACCTCACGCTGGCTATTGTGCTTCGCCATTAAACATATTACGGTGTACTGCTTTCGCACAATATGCCCTCCGACACAGCTTTCTTTCGTTCTGTTACTTATCCGTTTACTCCTGACCATGTATATTATTACTTATAAAAGTTGAAATATCTTTATTCAATATTATTACAATTACTTATTGATTGTGAAAATACTACTAATCTTCCGGAAAAAAAGACAGCCAATAAGAACAAGCGAGAGTCTCAGCTAACAATTTTTTTTACCATTATTTGACAAATAAACATTTTTACAATATATAAAAATCGACTTGAAAGAGCCTGGGGCGATCAATTCGTGTCCAAAGTTTATTATCATATAAATAATCACTAAAATATTATTAGTCTTTGTTTAGTTGGCTGGTTCAGAAAACCTTTACCCATTACGTCTGATTTATTTAATTATGAAGGAATCGCAATGAAGACTACATAACAAATAAAAACATATTCAGGTCATTTTAGCATCTCTATTCTCGTGACCACAGTGCATGCTTAAGTTTTATTTAAAAAACAATTATGTTTGTTCATATGTACTACATGCACATGAGAAGTAACTCGTTACTCATATACTTGTCTAGCGTAAGAAAAGAAATTTAACTAAAAATTTTATCCCCTGTACCAGTACTCTTTGTTTGTGGAAAAGATACTAATTGCAATTTATAACGGTTTAAATAACTTGCAATTATAGGTAAATGTAAAAAAGTTGTTATCGCTTGCTATGGTAATACCGCAAACTTAGGCGAAGTAGTCGGTCGCTTTGCAACCAACCTCATCATGTCACTTTTTACGGTCGGTGTGCGTGCGCACTGTAATAATTTTACTCTCATGTTTTTTCCAAACCCGCCCAAAGAAGTATAACTTCAATGAGAAGTATTAGTGTAATTACGGTATATCAAACGGAAGGGCGTTAAAACATTTTCGATTTCATTAGCTCTAAGTTTTGAAAACCGTGATAGTTTACTAGGATCTTGGATTTATAATCATTTTATAGTGATCATTTTGATTTATAATCATTTAATAGCAATCCTATTCAGAAAATATACGTACATCTTTTTCTCTACATTGTTGGAAAACACGCGTTTCGTGATAATTGATTGCCCGGAAGGGTTACGGCGTGGCGCCAGGCGCGTTAATCGACTTTTAGCGTAGCGGCTTTTAAAATTACTCCTCACTCGTTACTGTTGAGCTTATGTAACTCAAATCCACCAGATTATAACCGAGCCAACGTCTGACACCACTTTAAATAAATCACTTTCCACTTGGAAACAAATTTTATGTGTTTAGTTACCTCCATCGTTATATTTCGATGTTGGTCACTATTTGGGATTGATTGTAAACTTGTTATTTACCGTTTCTATTAAATTCATTAACAACGTGTAAGAACCAAATTATTATTGAATATTAACATTTAATACCGTGAAAAAGAAAATTGACAACGAAGAGTTTTTTGTAGTAATTACCTTGTTTCATAGTTAAAATAAATTTATAATACGGTAAAATTCGTTGAACAGTTTAATATCGTTACATTTAAAATTAGCAAATAAAAAATTATGAATTAGGTAAAAAATTCGTAAGTACCTAAATGTTGTTAAAATAGCTGTAAATCATAATGTTGTCATGACTTCAAACGTGTCTAAAGAGAATGAACGACTTATAATCTGCTACATATGCATGAAGCGTTTATGGGTTTATTTAGGAGTCAGGTTGTGCAAACATGATAAGGATTAATGATAATAACGCTGGCGGTTCCGCGGAGGTGCGCCGCTGACATCTTGAACCCGACTTTCACTGGTTCTCCATATTCTTACATGTGGCTTCATCGGGCGGTCGAGGCTTCCTTCTGAGTTACAGCGACGTTTCGAAATCAGCTATTTCGGTTTATTGCAACATCGCCGACAAATAACCGGCGCAGGCTGTGCGATGACAAAGCCAATGTCTAAATAGGGCCGACCGGTACATTTCCGTTTTCTATATCAGGTCTGCTTTTACGATCTGGTTCTATTTTGGTTTGTCGTTATAATCGCGCTGCATTCACTTTCTATTTGAAAAATATTTTGTTGAACTGATTCAATGCTGATATAAATGATGATCACATAAGAACTTGTCGTTTATATAAAAAACAGTGCCCTTACTTTAGGATAACGTTATCCTGTGTTGTAAGGACGTTTTAAATATAAATTTCACGCGGACAAACACCCAGATGCGAAAGAACTATCTGTGGGTCACACAAATAGTTGTCCCGTGTGGGAATCGAACCCACGACCCTTGATGCCGAAGCCAATACCTTCGCAACTACGCCACGGACTCATCAAGTTACTATCTGTTTCCCACTTTGACATAATTCTATATTAATTAATAGTTTCCGTATGGTTTTTTTTGTCTTTACCAGACCACTAGATCTTTCAATAAAGTTGAGATTATGTTCTTAATTTTTAAATACTTTAATTCCAAGTCAATTCCATGTTTCATTTTATATTATCCATTGATTAATATGTATGTATAATTATCTTATCGCTTATTTTATTATTAAATTTAAGTTTTCCATGTTTCGAACCCTTTTCAACGTTCATTATGACGGACAGCCTTTTTTGGTTTACAGTCAAGAGGTATTTTGTTAATAAGTATAAAAATAAAACAAACCTCGTGTTTTTACAAAAAAACAAAAAGTTTTTAAAGAAAACAAAAGTGGTTTAACAATAAAAACAATTTCACTTCTAACAACAATCACACATTAAGATCTTTTTTGTTTCGTTTCAGACAACCTTTCCTCCGAGTATGAGATCGTCAATGCAACGAGCTGGCAGAAGAGTAATGCAAACCCCCAATCCCGCAGGAATCCCGAAAAGCCCGGTCGGAAGCCCCTGGAGGGAAACGGGCACTTGCCAAAGGGCAATTTACGTACGCACGGTACACTGACCAGTCTTAGTTTAGAATTTGCTAATTTTGTGTCACAAACTATTTAAATTGCATTATATAGAAGACATAGTTCATACACTGTTTCTAACACTGCTGGTATCACAAGCAACCGTGAATATTTGTGCGCATTTCTGCACACTGTGTTTTTCGTGAATTTTCGTCAAATTTATATGTTATATGTTATTATAAATGTATACAATAACATTACTTCTTATTCTTAAACACCGTTACGAGCCGCGGTATCTCAATGTCCGGGCGCTCGCTTTTAATCCATTATATCGGAGTAACCTCAATTTTAATTGCTGAAATACCGTGAACGAAAATATTACGAGGAAACCTGCATATCTTTAAAATGATTAAAAGATGTTGGTAACATAATATATGAGTCTGCCCGTTCGCACTGGGATCCCGGAGTGTATCAGCCCTATACCTATGTATAAAGTTGGCCTTAAATGGGACATATTATAATGTACATATGTAATTATAGGCTATTACTTGACTTTACTGAAATAGTACTTTCTCCAAGTGACTAATTAAATAAAGGCTTTCTCATTTGAAAATAAGAATAGTACAGTTTCTTTCAAATTCGAAATATCTGTTTACTTCTTGGCCTGTTGTTATTGCATATGTTATTACTAACATTTTCTGCATATCTTTATGACCCAAAGGGGCCATTGCCCGGCTGTATTATATAAATATTTATAGGCTTATTCTTGTTTTTACTTTATAATGGGTTTTAAATTGTTGTAATTATCACGTGAACTTATAATATTTACGAAATACAGGTACGAAACCGCAGGAAATTGATTTCTACGACGCTGAGAGCGCAACAGGTATTGACCTAACATCCTTAATGGAAAAGAAAACAACGAAAAATGAACAAACTAAAACACCAGCCCCTCCAGTCTTTCCCACACATTTAACGCCCGAGGTGCAGTACGGTAACGAGAAAGCGGACACTGGGAAATTACGTAATCCCAAAGTAATGGAAGACGCAACCACGAAGGCCGACGAGTCCACATTGAAACCGCACATCACCCAAAGTCCCGAGAAACCACTGGCCATATACTTCGACGAGGGCAAAGCGGTCGCGGCGAGCACGACCGAGAGCATTACACGGGCGGAGAGCAATAATGACGTATTGCTTTACGACGAGAGGCAAACAACAAAAGCACCCGAAGGGATGTCGAGTAAGGCACATCCACCTGTCTACAAAGACACCTCCCTGTACATGCGCAATGAGAACACGAGTCCGAGGGAGCAGCCGAACGAGCCGGAGCTCCCACCGGAACTTCACGGCTACTACCAGTTCAGTCCGTTGAGCCCGGACAATCGTTTCACCTCGGGCCACTCTAAGCTGTTCGGCATCTCCATAGAGGACGCGCAGAAGATGAAGTCCACCACCCAAAGCTCCCTGTACAACACTCGAGTCTCCCCAACACTGCCTACGTGGCGGGACAGGATCGATAGCACAACAAAAAATTATCCCTTAAATATCAATTTAGACGGTAAGTCCAAACGTATTGTTTTACGGCGCGTTTTATTGTGGCATGAGGTAACACGCTAATGATCATGTTAAACTTGTCATTTAGCTTCTCATAGTTTAATGTTGTTAAATGTTTTTGCAACGTATGCACAATAGATTAAATGCACCTGTGTCATGTAATGCATGCTTTAATGATATAATTTTTCTTAACCTCAAATACTAATTCTTACCTTGTTTTTACAAGCTTTATTATTAAAGTTTAAATTAACACTTTCATTATGAAAATTTACCCTTTCAGAGAGGTTTTTATTGTAATTGAAACTACATAGGTATACTCTGAATAACAAATCAATTCATATAAAACCGAAAATACTGTTTATTTTACTTGTTGTTTTTATTTTTAACATAATATTAAAACAATAACATTTCCTAAATATCTCGGATCGGTTAAGTCGTGAAAATTTATTCTATTTTATTTAATTTAAATCCTTGATAATTTTTTTTATTTTTTTTTTATTTAAATTAAAAACTTATGAGACTTGTTGATTTTTATCGATGATTTCTCTACCGTTTCAGTATCGCAATGCCGGTCGACGAGGCTTGCCCTATGCAGGGGAGTGCTTCCATACGACTTAGCGGGCCCTGCGGTGACATTGGACGATGTGGAGGTGACGGAACTGCTGCCCCAGATAGAGTACCTGGTGGCCACCAACTGCAGCGATCGGGCAGCGCAATTCCTCTGCGCTCTTCTAGAACCTGAGTGTAGTCCATCCCCGTATCCAGCAAAGATGCCGTGCTATAACCTCTGCAGGGGTACGTTTGTTTCGACCCGCTTTTGGCCGTTAATTACTTAGATACTATTACTTAGATACGCCGGACCCACCGCCGGGGGTCCCCCCGGACAACACTACACCCACAGTTAGTGCAACAACAAATACACTAGTTCGCCCTCGCCTCCGAGCACGGCGAGACCAACACAACGCGTACACAAGGTACACCCGCGTTCCGGGGCGGTTCTCACCGCCCCCAGCCACCGATTAGCTAATTACACAGTCGACGGCCATCGGGGTTTCGGTCCGAACCACGACCTCGATGGCCCTTAGATGACCATGTACCATAGTTAAACGCACGCATGAGCACATGCGTGGCCCTACCCACAGCGGAGGGCCCAATCCCGTGGGTTCTGGCTAGCCCCCCGGTTCTGCGTCAGATGAAGCTTTAATAGTCTCGGGACTGAAAGCAAAAACATCAGTTAATATAAGAGATAAGATATAAGAAGCCGTTAATTCCAAACTCGTTTCAATTAAGACGACGTAGCTGTTCAAATATTGTTTAGGCGCTATCCCGCAACTGGGATGCATATCACTACATGTTCTAAAACAAATTACCTTCGCAACGCAACTGTTTCTGTTTGGGGTTCCGTACCCAAAGGGTAAGACAGGAACCCTATTATTAAGACTACGCTGTCTGTCTGTCCGTCCGTCTGTCACCAGGCTTTATCTCATGATAATTGATATACCGTGATAGTTAGACTGTTGAAATTTTCACAGATGATGTATTTCTGTTGCCGCTATAACAACAACAAATACTAAAAAACAGGATAAATAAAATATTTAAGTGGGGCTCCCATACAACGGATATGATTCCTTTGCCGTTTTTATATAATGGTAAAGAACCCTTCGTGCACGAGTCCGACTCGCACTTGGCTAGTTTTGTAATTGTCATTTTGTAATGAATAATTGACAAAAATTACCTGAAAAGCCCTATGCATTATATGTATTTATTTACAAAAGAAAAGTATGTTCATCAGTTATTTAGTACCCATAGTACAAGCGTTGCTTAGTTTGGGGCTAGAGAACGCTGTGTAAAAATGTGTCGCGAAAGATTTAAAAATATATTTAACAATCCGTGCAGCGGTGGCGGAGAGCTGCGAGGGCTCCATCCCACGGGAGCTGGCCGGGGTGTTCGTCTGCGCGCGGTACGCGGCGGAGGGCTGCGCGATGGCGCGCTCCCCTTGCGGCCCGCGCGAGCAGCCCTGCTCGGACGGCGGCTGCGTGCCCTCGCACTGGGCCTGCGACGGCACCCCTGACTGCGCCGCCGGCGACGACGAGGCGCACTGCACCGGCTGCGCGCCCAACGAGTTCCAGTACGTACCTTAACCCCATAGTTCGTCCTCGTCGAAGGCGAAACCAACATAACGCGTACCTAGTGTACGCACACCCGCGTTCCAGGGCGGTTCTCACTAGGGTTGCCAAGTGTTTTTGAGAAAAATAACGTATGTCATATTATTTCAAGTAGAGAAAAATAAAGTATTTGGAAGAAAAATAATATATTTTTTGAATGAATGTTTTTGATAAATCATAAAATAAAATTAACAGCAAAAGCTTCTAATTTGAAAGCGTTCTGTTTAACTTAAAAGTTCAGTCAAAGAAATTATTCATATAGGTACTACATTGAAATTGTTTTATTTTATGCATCACAGTAAATATTGAAAAAAAAAAAAGGTATTTTCACATTTTTATGCAAAATTACAAAGTATCTTTACAGAAAATGAAGTAAAATACTTTATTATAAATTATGGTTAGCAACCCTAGTTCTCACCGCCCCCAGCCACCCACTAACCAAGCACAGTCAACGGCTAACGCCCACGGTCCGCACCGAACCTCGACAGCCCGTAGGCGACACTCCTTAGCTAACGCACGCATGAGCACATGCGTGGCCCTACCAACTGTTGAGGCCCTCAAACCCGTGGGTTCTGTCTAGCTCACCGTTTCTGCGTTCGATGAAGCTTTAATAGTCTCGGAACACAAGGTTAAGGTCTGTTAACACAAGATACAAGATAACCAGTACGTACCCTCTTGTTGTGTCTCATGTCGGACTGTGGACTGTGAGCCATAGGGTGGGTTATGCGATCGTTTTACTACATGATAAGAATAAAGAATGTAGCGTCATTTTTATATTTATTGTTCCCTAGGTTCATACATAGATTGATTGTTTTCTGTGTTTTCGCATGTTTCATTTCTTACTTAATTCTGATGGAACTTTTCCTATTGTTTGATTTTACCAAGATTCGAAACCAATATCTGTGGTTCGCACGAATAGTTGTCCCTTATGGGTATCGGACCCACGATATCTGGCGCCGAAGCCAACTTAGCTTAGCAACTGCGCCAAGGTGTCAGCACGACAGCCGCAGATCCTGAAACCACCGCTAAACAAAATGTCGTTGCACATGAAATTTGACGACCCGAATGACGTAGTGGGTAGTGTACCTGCCTCCTGCGTTAGAGGGTGTGGGTTCAATCCCCACTATTGGAAAAATATTGTGTGATGAACATAGCGTTTCTCTAGTGTCTGGGTGTTTATACATGTATAATATGTATTTATTTATAAAATAGAAATATGTTTAAATGTATTTATCAGTTATCTATACCCATATTACAAGCGTTGTTTAGTTTGGGCCTAGAGAGCGTTGTGTAAAAATGTGTCCAATTGTGTCCTTTACATACATATAAAGCGTCGTGTCATGCACTTTTGATGTCAATTGTAATTGTAAGCCGTGTTTGTGCTGTACAGGTGCGGCTCCGGCGGCTGCATCCGCTCGCGGTGGGTGTGCGACGGCTACTCCGACTGCCCCCGGGGCGAGGACGAGGCGGAACAGGTGTGCGGCAGACGGGCCCGGGAGGAGGACGCCGAGCCGGAGCCGGGCGAGGAGTCCGCCGGCTCGGCGCCGGCGCTCGCCGTCCGCCGGCCCAACCGCGTGACGGAGACCGATGCGTCGATCCACCGAAACGGTGACTATGAAATCATTATTGCGGCAGGGCGTAGCAACAGCTTCGGCTGTACCGAATGGGCAGGCCCGTCTGAGGAACCCACGGCGTCACAGAAGACCGGCGTGAGGTGGAAGTGTTATACTTTTGCGTTTCATACTGTACACTTTATGGTGTTTGGGACAAATCTCAAATTGTATTTTCGTTCGTTGGAGTTGCATGATCTGTTTCCTCCCGACCCTTTCCATCATCGGACAACTAGGCGTTCGGCGGGGCTCCACCCTTGTGCTGTCGACGTTCCACGTACAAGAACTAAGCGATTCGCTTCGTCATTTATGGAAAAACCTGCCGTCTCTCCGTCCGATTAGGTTTTTACTGAGCTAGCGCGCTTACCATCAACGGGCGCATCGCCATCAGGTGGGATAGCAGTCAAGTGCTGGCCGGTTTTGGAATTTAAAAAGATGTTTAATTATTTATAGTGCTAATCTCTGCACTTAAGATTAAACATGAAAATTCATCCCGCATCCATTGTTATATCCTTTCCAGCATACAAACAATTTCGAATATCGTTTTACAACGATAATTCGAACGAGAGATGTCGCCACTGCTTTTTAGAAATTTAATTATTTATAGTGCTAATCTCTGTACTTAAGATTAAACATGAAAATATGCTTGGCGCATCCATTGTTATATCCTTTCCAGCATACAATTGCTTCAAATGCTAAAAAACCATCTAGATACAAGACGTTAAGATTTTCGTCGGTGTGGCTATCAGCCGTTTAGCTTAGTGGCTAAAGCGAATGCCGAAGACGTGGGTTCGATTCTCACAGCGGCGACAATCTTTTCGTACTTTTTCTACATATTTTCATGTTTAAAAAAGATATTGTATTTCGAGTCTATCAAATGGTTATTATTATTTGTATTAGAAACTATTTGCTTAGCTGCACTGTATTAAGAGTAGTCCACGTCCCAAAACTGTTCCAGGCGAGGTCGACAGCAGCAAGGAGCTGCTCATGACGAGCGACAGCAACAACGCGTTCAAACGCAACTTCACCCGCCGCCCCTCGCCGTCCCGCCTCACCCCTTACAGCCGCCCGATCATCCACGACACCAAAGCGGACGCAGACGACAAAGCTGACGCAGACGACAAAGCCGACGCGACCGCGAGGTTGAAAATCGCCGAGGTCAAAGTGACCAAGAGCTATTCCGACAGCACCAGACGCAAGCACGGCGACGCGGCTAGCAAAACCGGCGCGAGGGAGATGTCCGCGTGGAGCACACGCCGCCCACTCACCTCGACAAGTCCATACACAATCTAGAGAGGGTTATAAATGGAGCCGCTATGTTGAAGGTAATAGTGTTATAAAACTCTTAAGTGAACATCACAACACGTTTCTCATTTAAGATTCCTTAATAGTTTTATAGGTTAAATGGCCAATATATGAAAAATTTACATGTAAAATTTAAACATCAACAAATGTACCTTATTGAATTATTGTAGTACAATACATTTTTTAAAACATCATTTTTTACTAATTACTTTACTAATAACTGACGCCCAATAGACACGCTTCACGCGTTGAAGATGCGTTGGCAACCTTCAAAAATGCGGGCACCGGCTACCTCACTCACCAGGCAAAACGCAGAAGTATAACACTTCCACCTCACGACGATGTTCTGTAAACCCATCCTACTTCTCCGGATCCGTTCGAGCAACATCAAAGACCGTACGACTGCAATAAAGATATGTTTGACTCAAATGGATACGTTCCGTTTTCTTAGTTTGATTATTTGAATGTACTAATTGGTACGCTCTAAAGATTTTGGCGACCCGATTGGCGTAGTGGTTAGTGGACCTCTGTCTCCTGCGTCGGAGGGTGTTGATTCGATCCCCATTACTGGTAAAATACTGTGCGATGAACATAGTTTATTCTGTCTCGGTGTTTATATGTCTATAATATGTATTTGTTTACGATATAAATGTATGTTTGAGTATGTTTAACAGTTATCTAGTACAGGCCTTGCTTAGTTTGGGACTAGACAACGTTGTGCAAAAATGTGTCCTGTCCTAAAATATCATCATCATCATCATCATCACCATTTCAGCCTGTTTGAGTCCACTGCTGAACATCCTAAAATATATGTGCTAAAATATTTATTGCAGAAGGCAGCGGAAGCCGCCCAAGAAGAAATGGCCGACTCGTCCGAGGGCAAAACGGACACCGAGAAGGCGGAGGAAGGGAATAACAGGGGATCGGTCCCTTACAGTGGTTCCGTGAGAGCGCACGCTTCGCCCTGCCCCAGTGGGGAACTGCGCTGCGTTGACGGCAGGTGGGTTTGGTCACCAATATCTTGTTAAAGTAAACTACGTTCTGAGACAGTGCGGTGATGTCGAAACATAATGACTAAAAATTGAAAATCTTGAAAAATAAGTAAAGCAATAGCTTATACTTAAACTTTCACTACAACTTCATATATCAAAATACGAAAAGTATTTTTCAAGTGACAACAATTTTAAAGTAACAGCTTTTACATGTCCTACTGCCGAGCAAAGGCCTCTTAATTTATTTGAATAATCTTTATATCTCAATATATATAAATAACGTGTCACGTTGATCAAACAACGATGGACTCTGCGCAGTTTCATCCAACTTGAGAGATAGGATAGGTTTATACCTCAATTTATACTCGCGATATTTTTTATTGCATATTATTTGTTTATTATATGACAAAGAGTTATAATTATCTGTGAGTTCCATAAGATTCTCTCTAGTACTATACTTTCAACATTAAAAAATAAAGTAAATTTATCTGCTGGACTGAGTAAGTATCCAATAGATTGCGCAGACGAAGTTGCCAGCTCGTATATTATATAAATAAGTTATTCATTGCAGGTGTATCACCTTAGCGCAATTGTGCGACGGGACCATTGACTGCTCGGACCACGCCGACGAGGACAATTGCTACACGTGACCAACGAAAGGCGGCATAGGAAAGAAACCCGTGGAAATTGCTAGGAGTAACATGGCCATGTTTAAAAACATCGCAAGGACTATTCTAAAAGACAAAATTATATATAAAACGTATAAATCGTATCTCCATTCGAGATAAACTTGCGTCAACATTTTAGTTTTTATAATGTAAAATGTTTCCATCGTAAAAAAATTCTGTGCGAAATCGATTTTTGTTAATAACTTTTAAGTTTTTAAATATGCGTCATTTGTGTTTAGGTATAAGTTAGTTTTATATTTTCGTAGGATTAGGTTATAATATTAATGTAAGCTACGTATACGCTGTGATACAACAATGCACGTTCTAATCCGAATATTTCTCTTTAATTTTAATTTAATCTTAATTTCATTATTACTAAGCGAAGAATTCATAATTCTCAAAAATTTAAGATATTTCTGTTATTCAAATACTTTGAAGCATATATTTGTAGTTAATTTCAAGAAGAATAAGAGCAATTTAAAGAGTTCAGTTTTTAGATAATGTAATATGTTTGAAAAATTAAAGAATCAATACCGTTTAACGTTGCTATAGTAAAATTTAAAGTTAAAAATTGATAAGAAAATAAAATATATGTAAGTGTACCTAAATAGTATCGTAAACAATATCTCGTAGCATCAGTTAATATTTAGTTATACTCTACTTATATAAATCTATAACCAACATGAGATAATATTTTTAACGAAATAGTTATGAATACTGTTTATTATTTCGCAATATTCATAACAAAATTATGCCGTTAACGTTCTCTTTTATTTTGCATCTTTATATTAATTCCACTGACAGATAACACTTAATTAAGTTTTTGTAAATACTTTTTTCGCATAATTTTATTTATAGTATTTATACGTTACGATTAATATAGCATTAGTTTTAAGCAAATTAGTTGTTACGCGCATTTGTAATAAATATCAATTTGGTTGCCGGCGAGATTATTGAAAAATGTAGTTTTATTCGAATCGTTTAGTTTAGTTCGTTTTTGGTTTTATGTTGAATACTTTTAATTCCTTTTTGAACATATTATAACTTCTTATTTAGGATCCAAAGTAATGTCATAATAATAGTTATATATTTGAAACCTTAACGTGTTTATGAGTTATAGAAATTGTAGTTTAACCAAGAAGAATTATCGTTTTGTATGTTGATAATTGTAATATGTCAATACTATGGGTAATTCTGTGTATATTTAAGGTAATTTTTTTATACGAGAAAATAAATAGATACTACCATGTTTAATCTGCTTATTTGTTTAATCTCAAACATATCTGAATAAACGTCAGATGATGCAAAATAAAAGCAACCTGTGCAAGACTGTATCAAAGTAACGTCTGCACTGCCATTGCAGACCCTCGACGTAAGCGATGACTTTAAAAATAGAATAAAACAGTTCTTCAAGAGAGCTGAAACACTGAATATTATAGAAATTTGTATTGTAAGTTATTTTAAACACAAATTGTAGATGACCGGAGGACATTTGAAATTGAAGAAGAAGAAGAATACAGAGTACTCTGTATTCTTCTTCTTCTCCGCTTTGATTACAATTATGTGAAACAAGGTAAGAAGAAATATTATTTTTGTTAAAATAACAAACGCCTTTAATGTAATGGCCGCGGGCAACAGCTAGTATATTATAGATCTACTACTACGTAAAAGCTACCTTAGTGGCAAGGGCCTACTATAAAGTCCAAGAATACATTGAGGACAAGGATTTTTGGAAATGACCCTTGCTCTGCACTTGCAAGACCCCTGGCTGCTGCTGATTTTATACCTAAATAAGTGTGTATAATTGCATCAAGCAAAAAAAAAATAACAAAAAGAACAAGACCGCAGAGTTTCTAGCCGGTTCTTCTCTGTGCAGGTCTAGTTTAGTGAACCGGTGGTAGATTTTTTGTTGACGTTCAATAAGACCTTAACCAACTTATATAACCAGCCTATATTGAATAATATCTCTATTCTCTCCTGTCTTTCAAAACTGCTTGAATATGTAGTCTGCTCAAATTAAATTACGCGTGATATTGATGCCCTCCTTGTTGACTCCAACACGGTTTCCGCAAAGGTCTTTCTACTGGAAAAAACCTACTTACTTTTTTCGCATGTATTATGTGAGGTTGATAGAGCTGATAGAGTTTTCAAGTGCGTTTGATAGGGTGAATCATGACCTACTAATCTCAAAGCTTAAGGCGACGGAAATAAACGGTTCTTAGGTAGTTTAAATTTCATATTGAAAGAAGGTCACAGTGAGTTGCAGTAGGTGGGTACGAATCTATCACGTACTGCTCGGAATCAGGTAATCCACAAGGCTCACATTTAGGCCCTATACTATTATACCTGTTCATAAACTATATCATATCTAAAATTAAACATAGCAAGGTCTCAATTTTGCAGATGAATAAATTATTTAGGCTCGTAGAATCAAACCCCCATTCTTATCTCTTACAGCGTGATGTAAACAGTCTAGTAGAATGGTGTAAATCGAACGATATGGTACTAAATCCTCAAAAATGCTATCAAAAAAATTTACAGGAAATGAAATCCTTATAAATCGTAGTACCACATAGAGAATATGTTGCTTTCAGCAACGATTGAAAAAAAAGATCTGGGTTTTGTTCTAGACTCAAAACATTATAATTAACTGAATAAAAATGTCCGCCATTTGCGATTGGAAATGTTGCGAAATTGCGACAGTAACCATATCTATTCCCAACTTCTATAGAGCAAAAGAGGTGCTCGAAATGTTTTGAGTATCATACAAGATAAAAAAGTTGATGGTTTAACAGAGTCGAGACGAAACACGGCAAAATATACAAACTTTTTTATAGGAATCAAATAAAAGAAAGAAGAAATTTTTCTTAGTTTCGCAGATGTGCCCGACGTTAAGCTGTCTCTAGGAGAAATCAGTACATCATCATCATCCGGCCGACGCGCCTGCCTGACGTCAGCCGTCCTTGGGAAACAAACACCCAGATCTGGAACAATTATCTGTGGGTTACACAAATACTTGCCCGTGTGGGAATCGAACCCATTACCCCCGACGCCGAAGCCAATAGTTTAGCAACGGCGCCACCGATTCATCATCAGCCAAGAGAAATCAATGCAAAAGTTTCTAAATTTGGGGGCCAAGGCTTTATAAAATACCACTACAATAAAAAATGCTCTTCAAAATTACCTATGTAAAAGATCTAACGTACAATTTTAAATGTCATAATGTCTCACCATATGCGAATAAAGACTAATTTGTTATTTTAATTATGCCAATATTAAAATTAAAAAACGTCGTTTTATTATACCTAATCTGTCAAACAAAGACATTGTAATATCTATTGAAATTTGACTGGTGAAACCCCGACGTGTGTGGATCGTACTTCATGGCAGTCTATGGGGGAGGCCTATGTTCAGCAGTGGACTCAAACAGGCTGAAATGATGATGATGATGATGATGAAACCCCCGAAACGGCTAAGCTCACGTGAAGGACCTCCGATAGGTCCGAAACTAGTCGGTACATACACCGATTCTACGTTCTACGGTTCAAACTGAAAGTTCATAGAAAATCATAAAACGGCTTAATGCAGAAAGTTGCCAATACTTTTTTAAGCTATTGCATAGCTTTTATCGCGGGCTTTGAGCGTGGCCACCGAATCAAGTAATTCCGTAACGAAAATAAAACCTAACACCCCCCACTCCGCCTACCATGTAGCTCGGCCGAGCGTTCGCTTAACGTATATGTATATGGTACGACTGTACGAAGCTCGCACGGATGGATATTATAATATTATATTATCATAAATGATGATATGATATTTAGAGGACATCAAGTCTCAAACTTATGTTTCTTATTTCAATTACCATAAACCTATAGTTTCAATGATAAAAATTCCTGAATAACCTACATGTATTGTAAAATAATAAAAATATTTTAAACGACATTAACTTCTCATTTATTCAATAAAAGAAAGAAAAAATGTTTTCTTAGCGGTCACCACGATCAAAAAGTGTGACTTGAATTAATATCAAAGAAAAAATATACTGCATAAATAAAAATAAATAAATGATAATAATTGCATAATTTGATAAAAAATGCTATGCAATAGCTTTACCGCGGCAGTCCCCGAGTGTCACAGGTTTTTTTTGTTGTTCGAAGAAGTCACCGTTCCTATCTATACATATATTTTCATATTCGATGGAATCACTGAGAAAAGCAGTGGGTAGGCCCATTCTTCCTTGGGGCTCTAATCCGCTATTCGACCGCACTCAACGCATCTAGAGAAATTTATCTATGATCCTTGGATGAAAGTAGCAGTGCGCCAGGTGGGGGACTATATGGCGGATGCCTCATTATCTCGACACCTGCCATAATTAATTATTCCATTGTTCTTTTCGCGGAGTGTGCTGAAGCGTTGGTGTGGTGAAAGAAGATTCTGCTTCCACCACCTGAAAACGTCCCAAATGTTTATAACTGACCAGTTCTAAAAACTTTCACTGTCACCCGGGTAGCAACGACTTCATCCGTAACAGGGCGTCCAGAGCGAGCTGCAACTTTGACATCCAAATTCATAGTATTAAAACACTTTAACCAACTTTGTCCTACGATTTCTGAAAATGCATTCGGCGCATAAAGGCTTTCAGTATTTCACAGCTTGTGTAGATTTTCTTTGATATTTGTGACAATTTGAAAATGTCCGGATTTTTTTTAATCCTTTTTATGTTAAAATGACACAACTTCATATCGGTACCTATACAAAATGACTTTTTCCACAACCTATTAAATTAATCTATTGCGATCCAAGCCGACGTAACGATCAGTTAAACCTTTTCCATCACATAAAAAATAATAGTGTTATATTATGAAATGCGATTGTTTTCGAACGTTCTTCGTCTTTTTTTTTACCTGCGTCGTCTGGTTTTCCTCTTTTTTAATCTGTCACACAATAAAATCCAATTTGAAACTTGTAATGGATAATGTTATGCTTCATAGATACAGATAGTCTAAACAGGCTGAACCTTGCTGAAGTGTATTTCCACGAATTTGATAGAACATAAATTTAAAACGTCGGATCTTGTCCAAAACGTGTCTTCACAGCAAAAGAAGTGACACAAGACCGGGTTCTGTTATAGCAATTATGTTCTTCTACAAAGAGACCAAAAATATGTGAACGTTCACGCTTTGTGGTTCGCATTAGCAACGGCATGACTCATAATTTGTATCTGTTAAATATATCAAATGGCGTCTTAGGATCGTTTACACTCAAAGGTTGAAACTCTACCGTAAGGTACTTGGAATAAAAATCAATTTCGAACGGTTCCGGTGCGCTGTTAAACAGTTAGGTTTGCCAAAATTATTATTGTAACGACGTTTTTTCATTGATAGAATTGGACGATTACCTCATCGCCACTACTGTTTGGTTTTTGCGCAAGCACCGCCCGGACCTGGGTCTCCTTGCTTTTGTTTGTTTCGGTCACATCGAGTTGCTTGAGGTCGATTGCCGTTTCCTTGTGGAACGATAGTGCTTATAAGGATAATTGTCCATTATCGTACGATACTTGCATACATTTCACAACGATAACGTTATTTATAATTACTAACATATTTACAGAGCCATAATATTTTTACAAAAGGTTAACCAGAAATAAAACGCTTATATATCGCTTTATTTAAAATTTGTACACGTAGTAGGTAATGTAAATTGCCGTCTCCATACTTTACAAATCCTTGTTTTTAATTTAAATCCCCTATTAAAGAAACATTAATTCGCATAGCAGCATTCGCTCAATTTATTAAAACAAAATCAGAAATATTTCATTGTCAACTTTTGACGCAAGTTAATAAGTATGCATGGAAAAAGATCATGGAAATAAATACATAATAGTACGCGCCCCCACATCTTGGTATACTAGATTCTTGATTTGTAAGCGGACTATCCACCCACACACCTACATAATATATATTTATACAACACGCACGAGTGAAGTTCCCTTTCATAACTGGCCCTAGTCCACTATCGAATGGCATTTCGTTTAAAAATAGCACGCAACTAGATGTGAGTTAATAGGGAACGTATACAAAAGCGGTCTGGGTGTCATCGACCGGTGCCCACTGTAGGTTGGTAGAAAGCGGAATGAGTCACGCGGCGTCGCGTCGACTCCTGGTTACCTTGGCGTACTACCTCCATGAGGGTGGGAGTCAAAGTGGGACAAAATTTCATTGTCATAAAACTTTCCAAAAAAGCTATTTCATAATAGTGAAGGTAAAAAAAATAATAATTAAAACAAATAGCTAAGGTAAAAAATAGGCTAAAAAGTGGCGTACATCCAAATATGGCCAGTGTTGCAGCCGGCGTTACCCGATATAATATTATTAATTTATTCTCAAAAACTCGCACGAATAAAAACTAGGAAAGCATCGTCATAGAAGTGGAAAAAAGGTATACAATATATTAAAGAGCTGTAGCTAACACCCCAAACAGAGGAGAAAACAATGTAAATACTCGAAAAAGTAATCTATTTTGATTTTGGGAAGTCGGCAGCAGATTTGAAGCAACAGGTTCGAATCTCAGTCACATTAACGTGCTAAAATAATATTTTATTGCTCAGATTTTTATGGACCAAAAAACCGCCATCTTAAAATTGTGCTTGGTGTACGAATCTACATTGATAGCGAAATTTCCTTGAAAGTCTATGTAGGAAGTCCGAAAATATTCAAAATTATTGGTATATTAATGTGACGAGACCAAAGCTATGAACGAGCTCTATATATTGTAGTGTAGACGTTACGTTTTTTATCGGAAAATGAACATGTGTCACAAATAAAAATGACATAAGTACGCTTATATCTATAATTTCAATAGTTAGTATGAAATTATATTTTTTCAAATGTATTATGTAGTACAAATTAATGGAGCTAGCAGAGCGTTAAAATTTTATTTTAAAAAATGAGCCATAACTAAAAGTCGTAAGTTAAACTTACTTTAAAACTATTTTTACTGATTATGTCATGTTTAATAATCATTTAAATTTTCAATGGTGCCATCACTTTGGAGCATTTATGATTATGGGACTATAATTTGCAATAATTTTTTAGATAACACTTTGTAATTAAATAAGTCTTTAATTAAATTTTTACGCTAAGTAACGGACAATGCAGTCTTTATGCAGTATTTATGACTTGCCTTCTTGCCAAACTTGTATTTCGTATGCGGACAATGTTTCTTTATGATGTTACTGCGCCTTGAAATCAATTACTACATTTCAGTTACATAAATTAAACTAAAAATAAATTGCAGCTTTATAATATTATATTGCAACTTTGAAAGTATACAAAGGAGACCGCACTTCTGGACAAATCCCACCGCTCCCAACTACCGATCAGTCGAAGACTCGAATACCCTGATTTTACAACAATACTCACTGTAGACTTTAGTCCATAAAATAGTTTCTTTCATTATACATAGACCCTAGGAAGAAAAGCAACAACATCATCCAATAAAGAGTTATAAAGTCATATCGAAGGCCGTCAACACATCTTTAATAGGCCTATTGTGCCCACCTGTCCACATTATAGAGCTTGAATTCGGCTGAATGACTGAGAACAAAGAGAAGACCTAAGACTTCTTCTCAATACTGATTGATACGTTTATTTCCCTCATTATTAGAGACAAATAAAATATTGTTGTGGAATAACCTGGAATATTATAACATTGCTTTTTGAGCGGTTTCCCTATAGAATGCGACCGTTTCGTGTTATTCTTTTATTCATGCCCTTAAATGTTCTCAATGTCCTATATAGTCGTCAGGTTACATCCAGCATTCGTGAGGTAAACAAACCTCTGGTTCAGACTGGTTTGTCCAATCACATTACAAGTACATTTAGCTATAGCAAAAACTTTCTGAACTTAATATAACTCGTCACAACCAGATAAATAACTTAAAACGAAAATAACAGGCACTAAATGAGTAAAATGCTATTTTTTGCTATCTTGGAAAAGTTTTTCACGCGTACTTAATACGTTTGATTATACCGAGAGCAAAATTAAGCATGCTAGACATTTTTATTTAAAAAAGGCATTTAAAATTTGCAGGTTTAATTAAAGTGAAATTTTTGAAATTAGGTATTTTGTTAAGCATTAGGTCAAGTCCTTGCCAAGGTCTCCAAGTTTTTAGAACGTATTAGTAACTTATCTTTATTTTGACAAACGAAACTACGTTATCTTATACTAAAATAATTTAAAATACCTATAAAAAGAGTAAAGGACTTAGGTAAACAAAATTTATATCTTGAAGTTCATAAAAACGCCTTTTTGTGAACTCCAACTTTAAGCATCAGCTTTAAAGGCTCAATATGTCTAATATCAATAAATCACTTAGGTATTTCTTCACCGTTTTACCATGAATATGGATCATTTACCAAATTATAAATTATTTATTTGTTAGTAAATAACATGAACTATGCAAAATTGTGTTGTGAGGGAATGCGTACTACTTATGGCATTGCTGAACTGAGTACGCTGGTGATTCATTTCTCGGAATTGACCTTGCTATGAGTCATTCGTTGGAAGGCAGAGTCGGGGATACCGCGCCTCACGCTTGTCTGCCGGCTGCTTGCTAGACACACTTCGTTTCTGCAAGCTCTTTTTAAATATAACCAATACGTGCTGATAATATATAAGAAAATTTAAATAAAAATGTGTCGACTCAAGAATATCAATAAATCCAACAATTTTTAAAAAGAAATTTATATTTGTTTCATGTATATATTTTTGTGTTTATAAAGCTGGATATCATGATAACAACCATGACGTCATTCATATTATTGAAGGTAAGTTGATTAATATTATTTCAGAATTAGTAAATTAACGCCTCCCAAGTCAATAATATTTTACAATAAATTTCTTTACAATCTCAAGCATTAACAGTTTCTTAATTGACTAATTTTGACTGACGTTTACAATGTATAAACCTAACAAGTGTAAATGGTATTTAGTAATATACGGTCTCTTTCTATCTTCGTGCAACATACGTTGTAGCAACAAGGATAAATATAATGTATAATGTTTTGCCGTAATTGTTTGGATATACAGTTGTCTATTACCATTGGTAAGAAAGAAATAGGACGAATAAATTAAGTTTACCCATACGTACGAATCAGATAGATATAATTGTTTTGTTTTTGTAAGTTTTGCTTGCACCAAATAAAAATAAGATTTGTTTATTGAATGTTTTAATTACAAAAATTCCTTAAAGTTCACTATCAGTAATTTATTCATCGTTCACTTCTATTTGTAGTGCTCAGTTTTTGTTGTGTGACACCTTTAAAGCAGGTTTCTTTCAACTTTCAGACTAATTCTTTTTTGTTGAGGATGAACAGAGAAGATAATGTGAACTGGTTTCATGGGAAAATATCACGGGAAACTGCCGAAAAACTTTTAAAAGAAGGTTAGTTATTTGTGCCAATGAAAACACACATTTTAGTAATTTTTTTTTCTTTTACAACTTTTATTTATTGCTACAGAAGGTGAGGATGGTGTTTTCTTAGTTCGCGAAAGTAATACTTCCCCTGGTGATTATGTTCTGTCGGTTTTGCATCAAGTAAGTCTTCTTTTTTTTTTCATTTTATAACCTCAATTTTTTTATGTTTTCTTAGATATTAAAGAAATAAACATTTTAAGTAAAACAGTCTAATAAAGACATTATGTTTTTCTTCTAAAAGATTATGTAGTTTATAAACTAATAATTACTTCAAATATTGTCCATACTATAAGTACTATACCATTTATTTAATAAGCATACAATCAGTCTCAAATGCAATATTAATACAGGGAGAAGTGGTACACTATCAGATACGGAGGCATGGAGAAGATGCATTTTTTTCAATTGAAGAGCACACAACTGTCCATGGATTAGATACATTAATACAGCATTACCGTGGTGATTCCAATGGTCTTGTTACTCGCTTATCAGTGGTTTGCAAAGGCCAACCTCCGCCACATGAATCTAGAACTCAAGGAACTACGAATTTATTGCATCGGTAAGTTTATTTTAATGTTCAGTATATTACTAAATAAAAAAATAAAATTTCAAACATTTCAGCATATTACTAAATAACAAAATAAAAATTCATGGAAACTGAAAGAGTGTTTATTAAAATTATTTAAGTTTATACAGATTAAATAATTTAGATTTATTTTTCACATATATTTCGCTGTGAAAAATGTTACATAATTTAGTCATTATGAATATTTCCTTTTTGGGTTGAACTTATTGTTTATACTTACCAGAAGTATGTATATAAACACAATTATCTATGGTTAAAGTTTTATTAACTGAAGAAGGAAGTTCTATTAAGACAAGTATCTTATAAACTGTCCCTAATCTTTCTTCACTTATATCACACTAATATAGAAATTTTTCAATTAGGTTATATCTTACAAGGGTAGTTGAAGGAATTAAAATACAAATATAGTTTATTTTTAATCTTTAATGTGCCACTTAAATATAATTATGGTACTCCACTATTATAAAAAATTATAAAATGATTGGCTATAAAAGAATGGTAAATTCTTTAAATAAGAAAATGAAAATTTTGTTGCTTTATCTTAGTAATTTTATTAAAATGTATCTGTTCACATTGTATTGTCAATTACAATGTGAACAGATGAAAGGTTGCAATGAGCCACCTGAATATTTACTTGCTATAACTTTTTTTCTTTATACTTTCTTCTATAAAATGAGATAACTGTGCCTATTGTCTATGATTCTATTATTTTTTGATACCCTTACAATCACAGATACGCAAGTGATAAAAAATATGTAGTTAGCTGTTATTCAACTACCCAATTAGACTTGGCCTCTTGAATATTTGCCTAAAAGTAAACTTTTCATCAGTGATCATTTTGCTATGGATCCATGTATAATAATGCAGGTTATTGGCCCTGATTTTAACTTGTATTGCACTTATACAAATATGGTATATACACTGACAAGTTTATTGATCATTTCCTGCTCATGCATTGTTCAATAAACATGCAGTTATGTGCTGAGAGTGGTACATGCTCATGTGGGACATTTATAAGTGATAAGGTCAGCAGTATTTTTATAAAATTCTATATTGCCCTTAACTTTTATCACTATACTTGGAATGACTTTGCAATATATATAAATTAGTATACTGCATCTATATGAAATCAATCATTAAAATATATATTTCAATTCAAAAACTTTTACTTTAGTAGGTTATTGTTGTTTTATTGTTAGGAGGTTTTAGTATTACATAAATAAACTTAAAACTCACTAAGACCTTGATATAGAGAATACAGAGGTATAAGCTAAAATAAGTGAATGGGAAATTCTCCACCTCCATTTTTTATAACAAATATTTTATCATAATAATTTAAATTATAAATAATGTTTAGAAAGGTTTTCATTTGTAATTTGTGTTATTTAACATGATGTTTATAATATTGGCTTTGTCCTTTGTAAATTGAACCATTATTAACCCCTTAAGCTTGCTTATGTTACATATTTTAAGTTGACATTATTAATAGTTTTATTGGGTGTTTTTAACTAATAAAAAAAGGAAATAAGTATTGGTAGTACTGAATAATTTTACTCGCTATCTTATATAAAAATTGATAACATTTCAGAAGTTTTATGTAGCAGTGTATTATTTGGTAACATGCTTTCATTCGACATAATACTGATATGTTCAGAAATATAACTATATTTACATATAAAACTAATTTCACAGATCACAGACAATTGACAGATCTGTTATTTATTAAAACTAAGCCTTTATTATATTATTATTCAAAACAAATGTTTTTGAATACAGACAAGTATTTTTTTTGCTGTGTGGAGGGTGGAATATTTAAGAGATATAATGTAACATGATGGGAAGACTGAGTACATACGGTTTTAGTCAGTATTACTATGTATTACCTCCTAAAACCCCTCAGAAAAAATGTTGAAGTAAATATTTCTGAATTAGGGTTTTTGACATAAAATAAAATTTGTGAAATATGACATCTGACAGCACAGCAATGGTTTGATGAGTCCCGGCACTGAAATTTGAACACATTTTGTTACGGCTATTTCCATCTTATTTAAAATACTTGCGGTACAAAAAAATAAGTGAAAGTTGATTGGATGAAAATAAAGATTTTTTTGTTTATTTTAGTTGTTCGTATTCTTCCAGTGTAGCCCGCTTGTGATAAAAGAATGACATACGAGTTCGCTTTTTATGTATTGAATTTTTCGGCTTAAGCGTAAATTGATTAATAAAACAATTTGCACAACCGTAGTCGCTAAGATACGACAACTAAAATGTATTTGAAAAATAGACAGTTCTCTAATATTACCTAATTATCTTTCTAGCATAAGTACTCACGAAAACGATTATTACCGCACTGTGCTCATAATGTTAATTGCTTAGTGATAACATTGTGTGCTTTGAATCATCAATAGTGTTCAGATAATAAGTAATTCAAAATAAATAAAGGTCAATTTAACTAAAAAAATATCTTTAACCTTGATTCAACATATTAAGTTTTAATAAAACATCGCTGGTACTTTTGGATAGTATTTGCCTTGTTTGTTTTACTGTGGATTTTTTTATATGTGAAAAGATGGCAAGCGAGCCGGCGGTTCACCTGATGTTAAACGATATCCGCCGCCCCTGGACATTTACAACACCCATAAAGTTACAGATGTGTTGCCACCTTTTAATAAAGTGGGCCACGGCTACTTTAGTCACCAGACGAAATGCAGAATTGTAACATTTCCATTTTACCCCGGTCTTCTGTTAGCCCTTATACCACTACACTTATCAAATACCCCATAAACCCCATATCTTACCCCATAGTACCTAGTTCCTAAACATTATCAAAAAGGTAATCATGAACTCTTGTACCCCCCGAGTCCTTCGTGTACCACCAAAATAATATTTAGAAATTGTGGTCTGATTACTTATATAAATGCAATGGATTATAAAAATCATCTATGACATAAATGTACGTGATTGTATTGTATCGCTTACTTATTCATTACAATACATACACACAATATTAGTCACTACTTGGGAATGTTTTGATGGGGAAGACAATAATATCTTAGCAACAATTCGTCCAGATACATCTGTGTTTGACAACTGTGAGTCACTGTTTATGTTAAATGATTCACAGTAATCACACATCCACTTCTGAATGACGTTATTTTGGTTTGCATATCTTTGTAATGTTAAGTGCGCGATTAGTTAAACCGTCTGCCTGCGAATCAAATCTGGCGCTTTGAGGTTTTATACTTTTTGGTTCATATGTGGTATGGCCACGCAACAGTGTTCGCTGTTGCACGAATGGGCAGGTCCGTCGGGGCAGAAGACCGGCGTGAAGCGGAAGTGTTACAGTTTTGCGTTTCGTTTGGTGAGTGAGGTAGCCGGGGCCCAATTTATTAAAAGGTGGCAACGCATCTGCAACCCTACGATTGTTGCAAATGTCCATGGGAGCGGTTATCACAGTCATTGTATCGTCAGGTGAACCAGCTCATTTTTCACTTTGTCACATAAAATGTAACAAAGTGACAAACGAGTGTGTATAAATGAGATGTATACGTTTTTCAGTTACAAACAGAAAGTTTTTCATTTAGTAGTCGAATTTGAAAGCCTGCAGAAGAATGTAAGCACTATTTTTAATTGGATTTATATTATTGTTTAATGGAATCTGTTTTATTGCCTATGTAGTAGACATGGCACGTCATAAGAAGGGATGAAATTTCACTTGATGAGCTATGAAAGTGAATGAGGGATGTAAAGCTAGGTGGAGATCGAAAAATGTTTGAATGTAAGGTATGAAAAATATAGTCTATGAAATTGGTGAAGGGAAGGACATGTGCCGGCTCCACCCAGTGTGGGACAGCAGGTGAAAGAAGAAGTAGCATTACTAAATTATCTATTAAAATTTCTAAGTCAAGGTTCTGTATTCATTTATAGTCACCATCGCCACGCGTTAGATAAAAAATAGAGCTAGCTATATATTTATATAAAATTTCGATTTTGATTTTTCGTCAAAAATTAGTGATTCGAGTATCACTGGTGTTTGACAGTTATGTTCTGAATTTACTATACTATAGTAACTATGGGGTACTCCCGAGGCTGGTGATAAAAGGACTGGTTGTTTTCTCGCTCAAAGGTTAAGCATAACTAACTATCCAGTGATTAAATGTAGCAAGCGTTCTTGCATCATGACGCGTGGTCTGTCCTTCTCTCTTTAGATTTAAGTTAGCGAATTTGTGAGCCCAAATTATTGATTAACATTTTTTACTCGTGGCTATGTGAGCTCCCGGCGAGGGAAATTCACTACATATCCCGCTCATATGGAGCCCCGCGTGATATCATCGAAAATCACCCTTCGCAAAGCGCCGAAAAGCACGACCACGTCTGTTTGCACTGAAATCTCCTCGAAGGGCAACGGAGGCGGGCGAGTTCAACGTGGTGTCACAGCTGCTCGCGTGCGGCTACCGCAGCCGCGACGCCAAGAACCAGGACGGGCAGACCGCCGTGCACATAGCCGCCAGGGCGGGCCGCGACAACATACTCGCCAAGCTCATCGAGAGCGGGGCGACTGTCAACGTACGCGACTCGTTCGGATACACGCCATTGCACGTTAGAAACTTTTATTATAACTTATTTTTACCATCGTACGTTAAGGTAGCATGCCATAGTATCAATAATAGTATACTTCATTGTACACCAAAAAAGGAAAAGTGCAAAAAAATTATCAAATATTGGCCATTATAAGGCGATTGCAACACGGCTTAGCTCGGTTAGCCCTGTAGCTCTGGGTTGGTGAATGTCTCGGGACGGCGCCATCACTTCATGCACAATGGATCCGTCTCTCGTTGTTTTTATCTCTTTAAATTAAGGCCACAAGCTAAATCTGTGTTAGCTAATCAATGGCATAATCCATTAGTTGTATGTCGTTCTAATTTTAGTTTACCCAACTGCGGTGAAGACATAAAAGGAGGGTTATGTGTTTGACCTGTATGTCCGTTCCCTTTGTTCGTAATTATGTGGCTGAACGGATTAATGTTTTATTTAATTACTGTTAAATGATATTTGGTTACTAAAATAAAATAAATAATTAAATTTCGTTCTTACCACAGACGGGTATTAAACAGTTTTTATTTATTTATTGAATTTTCCGTTAAGTTATTTCGATTTTTGATGTATCAGCATTCGTTGTAATGCCACTATAACATTAGAAATAAATCTGTGCGCAATAAGCGTAAAGGTTCGGTATTCTTGTCCTTCGTCATGAAGTTAAAACATTTTTCATTTCTGTTCACAGTACACATGTCAGAATAACTTGCCGAGTACGACGGAGTTGCTTATCACTAAGGGCAACGCGAACTATCAAATGAGGCACGCGCCGACCGGAAAGGTTCCCTTGCACGATGCCGCGCAAAGGGGCCACATTGAATGCATCAAGGTATGGGGAACTTGTTAATAATATTTTAATATAAGTTATACTTGTAATGGCGCGTGTGGGAGAAATAATGAGAGTTAACTTTTCCGAAGCGCGACACCTAAAAACGACACTGCATGGTGTCATCATCAACCATTAGCAATTTTTGGTCATTTACCTACAATTCCAAGTTATTTAATTAAACCGTTATCAATTGTATTTAATTTTACTTCCACAAACAAAGAGTACTGGCAACCGGGATTAAATTATTAGTTTTTTTTAAAATTTTCTTTCGCTAAAGACGTGTAACTTCTTAAATGCGTACATAAGTACACACACACGTTTTTCGTTTAAATGAAACTATTTCACGTATTTTATCGCGTTTTATTGTCATCTTCAACTTTACAGTGTACACGGAACCGTGTAGCGTAAATATAACACGTTTCGAAAATTTTACGTATTATACATGTTATATTTGCAGGCAGCGAATGACATAGTCTTCCTATTACATGATTTGTATGAAAGTTAAATAAATTAAACAAACGAATATATTGTTCCGATGCTTCCAGGTGCTCTTAAAACTGAACGCCCCATCACATCCGAGGACTCTTGCACAGGACACGCCCGCCGACTTAGCGAAACACTACGGACACATGGAATGTTACCAGTTGCTAAGTAAGTCTGTCTTTAACACTGTACATTTTAATTCGGATCATCGTGTTTTTGGTTCTCACCGTAATGTAGATAAGTATGTATTATCAATATTACCATGCATTTCTTTTTCTCGCTCCCGCCATTGTTCCACCTTTCCTACCAACCCTCCGTGGGAATAAACAACCAGATTCGAAAAAGTTATCTTTGGGTCATACAAATAGTTGCCACATTCCGTACGGGAATTGGCAGACATTCCTTATGGGAATGAAATAAAATTCAGTTTTATTTTGAAATACAGCATATTGAATATGAAAAACGTAACGACAGTAGTATAGATAGTAGATATATTAGTGATTTATAATGTATTATTTAGGCGCATTATACACATTTTAAGTGTTTTACGCTTGATTATTAATTTAAAGTAGCTGTCGCCCGTTGGTCGAAATTTGACCGTAAGTCATGAAATAAATATTTTTATTATTATCAGAGTCATTAAGTCCATGTGACATTTTAAAATTATTTATAGAAAATCATTACTCTGTGCAATTAATGAACGTAAACATTGTTAATGTTTTATCGTATTTGTTCGGAACACGCATCGTACGTATATAACTTCTAGCCTTCCAGAATATTCACTTTCATATAATAAACGGAAACTATGCCTTATCTGAAATATTTATGTATAAAGGGGCCTTTTTTACATTACGTATTAATAAGACTTTTAATTAAATATAATCGAACAACCCAACCAAGCTTAAATCCTGGTGCCAGAGCCAATGAAATTGTTAATAGTTTTTTTTTAATGTGATAAAGTGGCAAACAAGCTGGTGGTTCCCCTGAAGTTAAGTGATAAACGGGGCCCATGGACATTTGCAACACCCGTAGGCCCTACCACAGTTAATGCGTCGCCCTACCACAGATATAGCGTGACTCTACCACAGCTTTAGTTGTGACTTATCACGCGTTTAGTGCTGACCTATCACGTGTTTTAGTGCTGTTTTATCAAAAGCGGTTGCCTCACAGAAAACCACACGCCCGCCCCGCCCGGCACCAGTAGGGGGCAGTGGTACCACGGCACCCTGAACCGCGAGGAGGCGGTCCGCACGCTGGAGGAGTTCTGCCGCCAGCGCGGGCTGCACGAGCGCGCCACCGACGGCGTGTTCCTCGTGCGCTACAGCGAGCGCCACACCACCGCCTACGTGCTCACCGTGCTCAGCGAGAACACCCCGTACAACTACATCATAAGGAGAGAGGTGACGACGTCGATGTGCATACATACGATGCGTTTTTTTTCTCGTTTCCAACCGACTTCGAAAAAGGAGGTGGTTCGCAATCCGACTGTATTTTTTTATTTCTGTTTGTTGTTTATTTTTTTTGTTTCGCGTTTATTTTTACCGGGCGTTTCGAACCCTTTACAGCGTTCATGGTCACCGACCATGTGTAATCGCGTAAATACAAGAAATTATCATCTGTTTGTTATCTCAGAACTTTCGTCTGAGTGAACCGATTTTGGTGATTATTGTTTTATTTAAAAGGTGGTGTTTGTTTGTCCCCCTATTATGGCTCCACTGACTCTGAGATTATTCAATGTGTTTCTAATAGGAGTGTGCACGGACTTGCGCCATGTTGTGACGTCATAGCTGTCAAATCGAAAAAATAGGCGAATTAAGTGAAACAGATATTTTAAAAATAATATTTACTAAATGAAACTATGCATACGGATATATCGCGTATGATTTCCCGACACCAAAACACTACAAATATACCACTGGAAACATTAGGGAATTAAAATTAAATTAACCAACTTTTTTGCTTCAGAATCAATGGTTGTTTATTGATGATGGGCCCTATTTGGAGTCTCTGGAGAGACTTGTGGAGCATTACAGCAGTGTACCAGATGGTCTTCCTACCAGACTCATCACCCCAGTGCCACCCAAGCCGAAACCGCCACTGCCCGAGGTATGTTCCCACATTAAGATGAAAAAAACTTTTTCATTTGACTGTTATCATTTAATGGTTGTTTAATACAACAATCAATTTATATTATAAAGTAATATGCATAGGTAAACATTGAAATGTTGTATGCCAACTAGCAAGGTAATTGATATATTTGAAATACTTTAACACTGAACACATAAATAATACTGAATGTTGATGCGAATAATTGTCGCGAATGTTTTTACTGAGGAGAAGTAAAAATTATTATATTTATGAAAGAAAAAACATAAAAACGCCGTAGTATTACTCTGCATTTATAACTTGGGAATTAAAAAGTATATTATTTATTGACAAGTGGACTGACTATTAACCCGAAACTTACTACCGCCGTTGGACATCTATAACACCTAAGGGATTGCAGTTAAGTTGTCAAACTTTAAAACGGTAGACCCCGGTTGCCTTATTCACCTGACGAAATGAAAAAGTGTAATAATACAAATTCAGGCCGATCTCTTGTGACGACGACCCTTATGAAACATTCAACAACTAATCGAGATTATTGTTAAGCTTTGCCAATAATAATGTGAGATGGCAAGCGAGCTCTCGGTTCACCGAATGTTAAGTGATAACCGCCGCCCATGGAAATTTGGATTTTGGCATGGGTTTTTTTTTATAAAAAACATTGCCATTACTTTAGGATGATATTATCCTGTGTTGTAATGACGTTTTACAAACATAAATTTTACGCAGACAAACACCCAGATGTGAAACAAGTATCTGTGGGTCACGCAAATAGTTGTCCCGTGTGTGAATCGAACCCACGACCCCCAACGCCGAAGCCAATACTTTGGCAACTGCGCCACGGAGTCATCGTTGCAAATGCGTCGCCACCGGTTCTAATAAAGTGGGCCCCGGCTAACTCACTCACCAGACGAAAAGCATAAGTATGACACGTCCACTTCACGCCGTTCATCAGCGAGGTCGTGGTACTACCCCGGACGGACCTGCCAGTCCGAGCAACGGCGAACTGAGTCGTGACCCCGCCACATCTTATTCCAGTTCTCCACGATGCCGCGCACGAAGAAATCCTCCTCCAGCCGAGCGGCGAAAAACCAAACGCTGTCATTAGTGAAGCGGGACATCCTCGGGGCCGACCAGGCCTCGTCTCCCACCACGGCCGGCACCAACAACAACGCCTTCGAGCTGCTCACCAGGAACCTCTCCTTCTGCTCGGACTTCAGCAGCGACCGCATCAACAACAACGAGGACCCGAACGGCGACAGCGACACGTACAAAGTGCCCGTCAACAACGCCGCCGTGGCGACTCTGGCGGAGAACTACAACGAAATATCTATTAATTCCGATGGCCAGCTATCCACACTGCAAGGTGCGAAATTCAATTTTGTGCGTATTCAAATATCTTATACTTATCATCACTCGAGTCAAGAGAATGATGTCTGCTGTGTGCTTCATTTTGAAAGAGGAAAAAGTATGTTAATCCAAAGTATAAGTAATGTATTTTCATCTCAATTTTTTGCGTGAATAGAACAAACACACTTTCCACAAAGATTGACAGGCAGTTGTTTTAATACACACATCCCTTTTCAAAATATGATAAACATTAGATTTGTGGTATTTCCTCCTTGACTTTTTATTCAAAAGAATTTATTTTCAGGTCCACTTTAAAGGACACCTTTTTATGATCCACTTCGTTACTACTCCTTGCTACTATGGTAAAATCAAAAAATCCTCTGTGTCAGGGCCGGTGTTCCTAAACAAACAAGAACCGCAAGCGAGTTCGTAAACAAACATAAAGCGCAAGCACTGGCAGGCTCGGCCGAAACGGGCTAAGTAAAAATAAAAATAAGAACAAAAAAAATTCAAATTCGGAACGGCGCATTCGCAGAGTTCATCCCGATGAGCGAGCTGACGCTGGGCGCGACGCTCGGCGAGGGCGAGTTCGGCTCGGTGCTGCGCGCCACCCACAGCGCGGCGGGGCAGCCGCCGCAGCCGGTGGCCGTGAAGACGCTGCACGCGCTGCACGCGGACGCCAACCGGCGCGAGTTCCTAGCGGAGGCGCGGCTCATGATGTCGCTGCGCCACCGCTGCATCGTGCGCCTCATCGGCGTCTCGCTGGTGCGTGTCCCCCACCTTCGTAAAGGGCGGCTAAAAGGGCACACGTGTTGGCTGCAAGATGGCGAGGGAATCGGGGAATGTCTATCCTCCTCCGAGGCGTGCTCACGCGCAGTGGCGAGGGACACCGGTGCGTTCCGTGGGAGATCCCGGAGTCCCTCCAAATGTACATAAGTTGGCCACCGAGGGGGTTTTAGTGAGTAACAACCCCACATAACTTTTGAAGATTTCCCACCCGGATATAAAAAAATAGGTGTCCCACACTTCGAGCGACTTGTCCGTGTACCGTCGAACACTAAAGTCGCTACGAATGTTCTAAATATTCCGTAAAGCTGTGTTTCGCCACTGTACACCAGCGGGGTAGAAAGCGATTCAGTCTGGTGCTTAAGGCCACGAACAGCTTTAGTGGCTTCAAGTACTGTCAACGGTATAACAGAATGTCCTATAATACTTCACAAATCTGTGTCCACAAAACCAATTATTTGCCCAATTTTCAAAAGGTTGTCAATGCATTTGTAACCCTCGGGTGGAACAGATGTCCATGGGCGGCGGTATTCACTTAACACCAGGTGAACCGCCTGCTCGCTTGTCAACTTTTCACACAAAAAAAAATAGTGCTAATAATCCTTGGTGCAGGGTCCCCCGCTGGCGATGGTTCAGGAGCTGGTGCCTCTGGGCTCGCTGCTGAACTTCCTGCTGCGTTGCCCCGAGAAGGCGTCGCCGGGCTACGAGCTGAGGCTGTGGGCCTGCCAAGTGGCGGCCGGCATGAGGTACCTCGAGAGGCGGCGCTTCGTTCACCGCGACTTGGCCGCCAGGAATATACTGCTTGCCACTAGGTAAATGACCTATCCCAATCTTATTCAGTATTCTAATGGTCCGTCTACCGTCAGAGACAGATAGTCACTTATTTTGAATCTCGTCAAACCTATAAGGTCCTTTTCAAAGACTGTTAATAAATTAAATAAACTATATTAAATTAAATAGAGATTTTAAAATGTGTAGGAGAAAAGAACAAAGTTTTTCGTCGCTGCGGGAATCGAATCCACGTCTTCCGGATTCGCCCTCAGACGCTAACACCACTAAGCTAAACGGCTGATTGTCACAACGACGAAAATCTCAATGTATTTCATATACATTGTTTTTTTCGCAATTCAAGCAATGCTTCGCGCATCTATTGTTATTTCCTTTATAGCATCCAAAGAGTTTCAAAAATCACTTTAGAACGATAATTCGAACGATATATGTCGCCATTGTTGTTTGAAATTTTTAAATTGTGTAGTGCTAATCTCGGCACTTACGATGAAACATTAAAATGTGTAGTGGACTAAGTAATCCTCCGCTGCGGGAATCGAACCCACGGCTTCCGGATTCGGATGGCCCACCACATTAACTACAGTTACAATCTTGTTCCGCGACAATATAATTTTGTATGTATAAATTCGCAGGCACCAAGCGAAAATCAGCGACTTTGGGCTGTCGCGGGCGCTCTCTTCGGACAGCTCTTACTACAAGGCGAGCCGCGGCGGCAAGTGGCCGATCAAGTGGTACGCGCCCGAGTCGTACAACTTCGGCACGTTCAGCCACGCCAGCGACGTGTGGAGCTACGGCGTCACGCTGTGGGAGATGTTCTCGTATGGGAAGCAGCCCTACGGGGATATGCGGGGCGTGGAGGTAAGAGGCATTAGTGTACACAGTATAGTAAAGTGGCAGCCTATACAAGTCCCACTGCTGGGCAAAGGTTTTTAAATTAAACATTACGATAAGTGAGTTTAAAGATGTTTATTATAGTTTTTTTCGTTAATTTAGTTATTAAGATCAAGGCTGTATGTTAAGGCGATATGCAATAAGTATTAAGATGTTGTTATAAACATCTTTCTTAGTTGATATCTTGAACAATGTAATTAAATGTGTACATATTAAGTATCACAATAACTTTTCCGAGAGGTATATCATTTGGATGTATATATTGTCTTTACAAAGACAGGATTATAATTAAAAGGTTACCGTTAGCTCTTAGGCAGTTCAATCAATACTTGAGGTTAAACTATCAACAAGTAAAAGTAACGTAAAGCTCGGCAAAGGTCCAGGGTATTAGGGCATCGTCCATGCGATCCCACTGTGGATTGGCAGACTTGTCATATCTTTGAAATATTATTTTTGTTATGGTTATCAATCTTCAACAGTTATTATTTCGAAAATATGCAGGTTACCACACAATGTTTTCGTTCGCCGCAGAGCACGTGATGATTTAGCAGTTTAAATTACATATTAAAGCGCCGGGACACGGCTTGAGTGGAGGTTGCTGAACTTTTATTGCAACAATATTTACGATTCGTGTGCGTGGTTGTGCGTGTTCGCGACACAAAAATAAAAGTCGAGTAACAACAACGTATATATTTCCCACTGCTGGGCATAGACTTCCTCTGTACGGGGAGTGTTAGAGCACAATCCAACACCGCCGATTGGCAGACTGCACGTACTTTTAAATATTTGTTACTAACATCAAAATAAAAAACTTATAAAATTTATTTTGTGTCTTTTAGGCAATACAAATAGTGGAAAGCGGGCAGCGTTTAGAGAGGCCCGAAAATTGTCCCGACGAAATTTACCAAGTGATGCTTGACTGCTGGGCATACAGTCCAGACCTGCGGCCAACATTCAGCAAGCTTGTGGACGTTTTCTCACAGCATCCAGACTATGTGAACATAAGCCAGATGGCGTTAGAAAATGACGATGTTACAGTGTGAATATTTATGTTTCCTGCATACATTTTGCTGATTTCTCGTTATTTATTTTTCAACATAGTCTATATTTTTTATATTTCCTCACAACAAAAATATTTATTAAAAAACAAATTGTAATAAGAGGATATCTTTATGAGGGGGTTTCGCAATTTTGGTGTTGTAAGGAAATATAATATCTAGCCAGGATCTTTCAATACTCAAGTCTGTTAATTATGGTTCCATAAGTGTACAATTTTCTGAATGATTATCTTCGTAATGCATTTTTTCTATTTATGTTTATAAGTGATAACTTCTTCCAATTTGCGTAGTTTATTTCTTATTGATTTTTATTACGCAACAATATATCAGAATATTTATAGATCTGAATTCGAGGTTCAAAAAACCTTTAATCAATAGGATAGGAAATCGATTTAGAGATAAAAAAAACTATATTCATGAAAAAATTTTAAAATTTTATTCAATCTGGAAAGTAGCTACGGAGACAGTAATTGTGACAGTAGTAGTGACAAAAATGATTACATTATCATGATTGTTCCATTTGCTCCTTTTCAATTGAGAGATGACTTTAATTTATTATGATTTAAATCGTAATTATGGACGATGAAACTTCGAGCTGTATTTACGGATTGTTCGTAATAGGGGATACATGCCATGATGTGCCTGATTATGTATTAATATAGTTATATATAGTAGTTGTAGTAAATGATATATCAACATGGGTGATGAAAAATAAGTTATTTCATGTTTAAATATGTCATTGTTTTACCAATGAAGGGTATAATTCCATTCTAATTTTTTAAATCATATATTATTACGACATGTTTTAATTTTTATGTTCCTGTATCATTTTTAACGGCTTTTTTTTTAATTGCATTACATTTTTGTACCCATATACATTCCTTTTTATTAAAATAGTTGATAATACTTTTTTGATACAAAACACTATTTTTAAGTGTTAGGTTACTAGTTACTAAATATTTAGCTCTTAATGATATTTCAATATTTATTTACAGAAAAAAACAAAGCATTGATAAACAAAATTATAATCATAAAGCTATAGGAATTGCATATGAATGTTCACTTCTTAATGTTTTGACTGCTGACGTATATGCTTAAATAAGTTCAAACATATTTCATGATATATAAAAAACTTTTTTATCAATATATTAATGCCATCGACATGCCATAGTATAATGTGATTGACATTTCAGTTGCCATGAGGTTGTGTTATAAAAATATGTACAAAATTTTATGTAGTTACCTAAATTTTTATCTGTTTATTTTATAAGAGAATTTATATTAAATTCTATTTTATACGAGTCTGACTAATCGTAAAATTTTATATTATTTTGACAGATTATAAAATTTGATGAAGAATCGTATGTGATAATTATATTTATAAACTAAATTAAATAATTAAAACAGAATGTTTCATGTTTTTTATTTTAGTCATTTCCAGGAAATCTATCACTTATTTTTAACTGATAAAATATTCTTATAAGAAGTCATAGACAACTAAAAAATGCCGTAAGAATGTAATGACAATGACAAAAATTGTCTTGTCTTGGTTGAGACATGGAAAACGTAAATTCTATCTTATATCATGTAAACTTTAACTTAACATTAAAGTTATATTATGTAGAGTATTGATCATTGGCAAACTCATTTTACTTTCTAAGCGCTATTGAAATAGCCTACGCCAAACGAGTTTATATTTTAGTATCATCAAATAAATTATCAAAAACTTCACACGTTTGCTAACATACCTAAAAAGTATCTCATTCAACGTCAATTTTTTATGTGGTTGTGATTTCACTTATTTGAATCTTAAATACTAGATAAATACATAAACTCATTTTTATATTTCCGAGTTTTACACGAAGAATTAATTAAATAAACATCTACCATTCAATAATAGCATTTAAGTCTTGTAAGGTCTTTAGGTAGGCCAATAAACCAGTAATCTGATTATTATCAATGGTTGCAAATCAAACTATACCATACATCCACAACAAAGAAATAACCTACTGCATTACATCTGTAAAGTTCGTACATTCACTTCAGGGTACATAACCTTAGTCTTTTATCTTATCTTAAGCTTCAATTATTTATGTATCATAAATAAACATTTAAGAAAAACAGCAGAGGTTTTGCCATATTCTCAGTGACACAAAACATTTAAAACATTTTTCAAAATCTATCTCGTATAAATTCAAATATTAATTCGACATTCGTTATAAGGCGGAGGTGGTGTTTCCGAGCGATTTGGAACTCTTATCGCGTCTGCATGTAGTGCTGTTTCCCTTGCAACCGGCACATTACTCTCCGGCAAAGAAAGCTGCCGTCTGTAGAAAGGCGGCGTCTCCAAATTGGGATTCAAAACGTTGCCCCATAGTAAATTGGCCCTCATGTCGCCGTCAGCTAGTCTGTGAATCCTTCTGCGTTGTCGTCTGTTGTTGTTTCGCGCGCAAATTAGGTTGCCGCACTTACAAAACTGTCTCAGCCACACGTACGTCCCAACTATACCGATAGCGAGGCCCACTTCTAAGCCAATGACGAATGCTTGGAACGCCGAGAACTCTTCGTCGAACTTTTTAAAGGGTGTTAGCGGCTTCGTGGTCACTGTCGATGGCGAGGTTTCGTTAATACCCTTTGTAACGTTCCATACTGATTCAATATCGACTACCTCTTTCTTCGTCGATACTAACGAAACCATTTTCTCCGACATCTTTGGCAGTTTCTTTTTGCACTGGCTCGAATACACGATACCATGGGACACAATCCATGTTTCGACGGCCATAAAGCCGGGATTACACTGCAAATATTCATTGCGAAGTTCTATTCTTTGTAGTTTTCTAAGGGGACGTAAGGCTTCCAAGCTGACTGTGATCATGTAGTTTTCGCTTAAATCCAACTTTCTTAAATTCGGTAGACGAGTGAACAGCCTATCAGGCAATGATTTAATTCGGCAGTTGTTAAGGTTTAGTATCTAAAAAAAGAAGACACAAATACAAACTCTCGTCTTTAAATTCATTACTTAGGTACACGATTTGTGTCTCTTTGCTTCACCCCAAATTGTGGCCTGTGCTGATTTAGTCGCCAAACATTAGACAAAAACTGCGAACCCATTGCATGTTCTTTACATTCTTGGCGGAGACAAAATAATACTACTTTACTGTAGTGAGTTTTAAAATTTTAGATAGAAATTGTAAGGAAAGAAAATAGTTAAAGTCAAAGTAATGTAAAATTTCAACTAAGTGGTTAAAACTTTTACTTTCAAAAGAAAGACCCTAATTAATAGGTCAGTCATAGTACAATTATAGTTAAGTCAAGTAATAGTCTAATGCACTATATGCCCACTGCTCAGTGTCTAGTTTGTAAAAAAATACTCCGCCACGCGACTCTAGTAGTATGGATTGGTAGACTTCACAACCCTTGCACGATGGTTAAGATTTGAACTTAATATTTTAGGTGAAAATTCAATTTTAACGACACCGGGATTAGATTGCTTAACTATACTAAACTGAAAGTCAGTGCCCGGGCACTGAGCTATCAGGGCTCTTTTTTGGCTTTTAACTAAAATATAGTATTGCCACTTTAAAGTTTCAAATGAATGGCCCAACTATAGTTTTGAAAAATATACGTAAGTATACTATTTATATATTAAATAATAAAAACATCTATACCTGTAACTTTGCATGCATTAAGAAGGGTTCATTCTTGAGTGATTCGAAAACATTTCCAGATAGGTCCAGCGTGTCTAACTGTGGCGTATCCCAGAAAAGATCAGGTGGAATAAATCTTAACCTGTTAGAACTCAAATCTAGATATATTAAACTATCTAAACCTGAAAATGCGTGTAGCCCGATCCAAAATATTAGATTGTAAGATAAATTTAAAACTTCAATCGATGTGTAGCCGAGTTCCTACGGAAAAAAAACAGTACGTTTAACAACAAATTTGAATATAGTCAAGCACTTGAATATCTCATCAAATACGACTACATAAAGGAAGATGTGAACGTGGTCGAAATCAGGTGAATAAACAATACCATGCACAATCATGTATTGCTTTTAGTACCAATCAAAATAGTAATTGTCTTACTTTAAAACAAAAGTTGTCCAGCTCGCTTATTACATTATGGCTTAAACTGTATACTTGTACTTCACGGGGCACTCCCACACCAACGCTGACAATATTTTGGTCCACGCAAGTCGCTCTATTTAAACCATTTTCCATGTCACAATCACATTGTTTAGGGCACATCGCCCCCTTTACAGAAACTGCAATGCACCCAATAATAATTAAGGAAATTAACCCAAACATTTTATTTTTACCACTGCACTGATATATGCGAAACTTCTTGGCATTATGTTATTAGTAAAATTTCCAATAACATATCAAACTGCACTGACGCATGTTTTTACACCTAAACAGAAACTATCTATAAGAAATAAGTGAACACACTATCTTCGGGTGCATGAACATGAGATAAGATATCGAATTATCTTTATATAGATTACTCACATTCGAGTTGGTGTATAGCAAAGGTGTGGCGTAGACTTAATTAATTTTATGTGTGCTTAGGGTAAAAAAAATTATAGAACATAGACTGCGTTTGTAACTTTAAAACAGAGATCAATAATGATACCCTATATTTTAATTGTGATTTTCCTTAGCGTATTGCTTAACCAGTACTTCATATACGAACATATTTTAAATCAAACATACGCTTTCTTGTTTCCCTGGTCCTGATCCCACCTAGGTGGGATCGGTACATGTAAACATTAATGACATCGGTTAGGTTTTTTACCGACCGCCTATTTTACGCACGGGAACAACTTAAAATTTTAAATGAATACTCGTTTAGTATATTTTTTCTCAGTTCTGGCAATGATCATTAATTAGGTCTACCAAGTGACTATGATGCAGATTCCGAATTCACCACATATTTTATTCGCTACTACATAATTTCAAATTTGTGCAGCGATAGATTTTACATAATATAACAATCCCCCTTTTAAAAATCATTTTAAAATGAATAGCATCGGCGTTATCCCTAGTTTGCTTATTAAAATTACTACTTTTACGGAAAAAATCCTCACAGTCCTTACAAGTAAATATGTTTATTATAGCGAGCAGTCTACCATATGAATTCGGTTTCAAAATGTTAAGGTTTAATTAAAACACAATAATGTCAATAAATTTAAAAAGCCGTTTAAATTACAATCTTTATTGCATACATAAGGGATATATTATACATTTATCAGGGATTATATTACGTCGTTTCACTCTCTTTTACACAGATTAAAGTATTCTTTAAGTAAAAATATTCGAGTTCTGTCTGTGCTGTGTTGAAGTTGCGGTATAGCACCGCTTCATGGTGTAGTCGATGCTCATAATTGCGTTCCTCACGTCGAACACCGACGCGTTGATACTCTCGAATGTACCGGCGAGCCTGTCCACCGCTAAAGCCTGACAGAAGAAGAATGAAAGGCTTTGAACAATTATTTCTCACATTAAGCACCCGCTCCTGTATTCCAATGCGCATTTCTAGGGTTCTTAGACGACGTTACTCATATTTTCTGTAATTTTCTCTGCAAGAATATTAATGTAAATACTATTTTCTGGTGTAGAATATGTTGAAAAAGAAACGTAAAGTATCAAAGTTATTGTTGGATATATGTTTGGATACAGTTACTGACATATTAAATGAAACTACTTTACGGATTTTATCGCGTTTTTTATTTTAATTTAAATTCCCGACGTTTCGAACCCTTTCCAGCGTTCATGGTCACGGGACAAAGTTGTTAGACGTCTTGATGTCATAGTTAACCCCGGCTACCGTCAATTATTTTGTTTATTTTTATTCCGATCCACGCAGAAGGAGCTTATGGTATCTTGAGGTCTGGCAGTGTGGTGTGCTTGGATTTAATTTTATAAATTATGGGATCCCAAGCAGATGATAAACTCCAACCATCTTCTCTTTTGAAATTAGGATGTTTCTTTATTTCAATAGCCTCGCGGATCATCCTTGGAAGGAATCGGTGTTCTTTTGCGAGGATTTTCGGTTGATCAAATTTAATGTAGTGGTTGGGGCGGTCTAAAATATGATCACAAACTGCAGACTTCTTCAACCGTATTTCATTCTTCAAAAACGCGATAAAATCCGTAAAGTAGTTTCATTTAATATGTATAATATTCGCGTAAAATCAAGAAAACAATATACAGTTACTGACAATATAGTTACTGTAGATCTAAAAGTATCAGAGGTGCATGGTCTGATTTACAGTTTTAAAAATATATAACATATTGGCGTAGATTTACTCAAATGTCCCTATTTAATTTAAATCGGAATGGTACTGATATTCCACATCGTTGCAAGTTGAATGTTTGGTTAGATGCTTATCAACTTTAGGATTTATACATAAAGATCAAAATTAATGGTTATAGGGCCAACTTAAAATGTCATGCTTAGTATATTATGACTATAACAGATAACTATAATATATATATTTTACCCCATGCAGAAGAAAAACTATATGGTCCTGATTTTCGTTCGTGTTTTCACAAACACCTGAAATTCATTTATCTCCCGAAATTGTCGTACAATTGGACAGTTATACATAACAGGATAACGTTGAAATGTGATAAACAGCTGGGATATAACCATAGTGGCTTCCTGTTCTGACAAGAATTAGAGATGCTTTTTTTTCACTGAATATCTAAATACAAAAATGTAGACATGCAGACTGATGTTAAGTGATGACAGCCGCCAATGAGCATCCACAAGACCTGACTGTTTGCAGAGGCGTTGCCAACCATTAAAAACTTAATAGATTACGAGAAAACCTTTTACAGATTTAAGAAAGATTTTCTTGTAAAATAAAAAAAAGTAAAGTAACAGCCTATGTCCCACTGCTGGGCAAAAGCCTCTGTAAAGTGGGTATCAGGGTCCACCACGCGACCCCACTGCGGATTGGCGAACTTCACATAACTTTCACATTTTTCTTCTGCAAATATGCAGGTTTCTGCATATCTTCGAAGTAATAAAAAAATATTTCGAAAATATGTGAAGTTCGCCTCACGATGTTTTCCTTCACCGCGAAGCACGTGATAATTCAGCACTTAATATTAGCAATTTCATTGGAGCTGGCACCGGGAACCAAAAATCGAACTCAGATTGCTCGAGTAAATGTAAACGCGAGCGCCCGGACACTGGCTTTTTGCATTAATGACATAGGTCTAGATGGAAGAAATATAAGAGTAATAAAAAACTTCGATGAAGACCAAAAAGCAACCGTGAGAGGTGAGCACGAAGAAATAAAGAAATAGATATTTGTCGTGGTGTCCTTCAGGGATGTATAGTCACACCTATGTTATTTAACATATACTCCGATACCACTATATCGCAAGCCGGTTGAGGGATGAAGTAGATGTAGAAGTGAAGGTTAATGGTAAGGAATAACTTCCGGTACGCAGATGACTTTCATTTAATTCCGTTATCATTAGACCTTCAGATGCTTATTTAAAGAGTGGCTTGGTAACTAAATGAAGCATGGGATTCTGATCAAGAAATTTAGTCTCAAATTTGATCTTTTAATAAAAATTATCATCGGTCTTGCCATCATAATAAAATCAAACTAATCGAATTCTACTCTGCTATATTCTGCGAATAGTCTTCGTATACGGTTGTTGTCTTTGTACCATGGACTATTAGGAAGACACCAGACGGGGAATCGAAGATTTCGAGAAGATCTCGAATTTTCAGAATTTTCCAGCGGCGGGGAAAATAATGTAGATTGTAAACAATCATCTGCGTTTTAGTGCAACTAATAATGATGGGTAAGATGGCGAAATATCCGAAAATGGATCGGCATTTTGCGCAAGATAAACGATGTTTTTACCCAACTGCGCCAGATGAAGGGTTATGTTTTTCAATCCTATGTATGTATGTATAATTGTTTGGCACGCTCTGCAGCCTGAACGGCTTGATGGATTTTAGCTTGAGAGGTGTCGTCAGATTCGTAGTTACTGTGAGAGTGACAATGGGTATATCAAAATGAAAAAATACCCAGAAAAGCAGTCGGGTTTTTTAGTTTTTTAAATAATATTCTACTTGAATCTACTTGAATCAACAGCTAACCGTAGCCACAAAGAGGTACCCCAAGAATAAGAAACCTCCTGTGACACAGGAATATGTAGTTAAAAGTAAACAAATATATGAATGAATTAATGAATGAATATTTTGAATATACATAGTTATATTTTAGGTGACAAAAGCTGGCAATTGATCAGCAAATTTTCCGGTAATGTAAATGTCCATAATGGACATTGACTATTTCCTAAGTGATAGGCTTGCTAATTTTCCAATTGCTCTTTAAAAAGGACATTTTATTACCTGCTTGTGTGATGCTTCAGCTATTCGTTCTAATGCCTTCGAATTATTCAGAGTAGCTTCTGCCATTTGGGATAAAGCCGAAGCTTGCTGGTCCATTACCTCTACCTTTAAAAATTATTAAATTTGTAATGTCATTTTTGCCACCAACACTAGTACTAGTAGTAGTAGCTATAGATCATGGTAGGTATTACTATTGGCTACAAGAAATATCAACTATACTTGGTGCTTTATCAAATGAGTCGTGGAGTCGTTTCTTTATGTCTATCTCACTCTCACTCATGGGTCTTATGGAGTTGCATAGTGATGTGTATAAGATGAATAAAAGCCCATATTGATAAGGGAAATAATTATTATATAGAAACATCATTTTAACTTACAGATAGAATCTGAATAACTGTCAGGCTTTGAGGGCTAATATCACCTTATTCACGTCTGCGAAAATAAATTGTCAATAACATTTTCGGGCGCAGTGCACATTCCTATGCATGAAGTTTATACTGTGACGATTCAGTTAATAAGGGGCCGACTATAGTGTTTTAGAAGTGGCTAATTCTTCTAGAGGTCTAATTAATATGCTTCAATGTAAATTTAGAGAAAGAATTAAGATAAGTGTATGCTAAAGACACCAGACACACAGTAAAAAGACTAATAAGTTTAAGAATATTATATAGCTTTAATGAGCTTAAATAAACATACCAATTTTTCCATCATGCTTATGTGTCTCTCATCTGTTTCTGTAGATAATATTGGATTTCCATGAATTGGATAAGTAAGATCATCATCCTTTTTGAAAATGTTCTCCAATGAATCATCATCATCATCACCATTGCATGTTTCTAATTTGACAGAACTTTTTCTCCCTGTAATTAATTTTTTGTTTTATTAATATTACTCTAAGCATTTGATAAACTTATTATAATACAGTTTAACAGAAAAATTTTCCTTGAATCCTTGCATTGTGCAATAAGAAGAGATTTCTAGTGCAATTCACACTCTTCTAAGACCATGACTTTTCTCTTACAATAAATAGGAGATATTATTTTGCTATAAACATTAAAAACTCTGAAAATAGGAAAACCCAAAGGATGCACTACAGGTCGAAAGAGACATTTGGCTAGTAAGCCAATTGTAAAATTTAATATTTGTGAGTTGAGTTAGAGCTTAACAAATGTTTAGATTAGAATTCTATAGCACCAAAATGTACAAATGCATGTACAAACATTTACAATTTAAATGTTTAGATAGCTTATAATTTATTCTACATATCCAATTTAAGAAAACAAACTTTGTCTATTTAAAAAATAACATGTTTAACATCAAGTTTATACTAAGGCTGAATTTCTTGGAACTAATTTAATTCTAAATTTATTCTGGTAAAATTTTAGCAGGTTACTTCAATATAGCAATCAAAGAGAAAATTAAACAATAGAGAATTATAAAGTAAAATCACAAAAATCCGACACAGAGCACCCCAACTCCGTGTGGTCTTGTGATCCCTACCCCTAGAATGAACATGTAAAGGTGGAGCCAGAACCAAAGTTTTTTGTTTGTTATATTGAAGTGAATAATAACCCACATGAAAATAGCCTGCTAAAATGTTACCTTTATTCAAATATAATTTAAATATACATTCATGGTATCATAACATACTTACTATTACTCATATGTCTATTGTTTGGTGTTATTTCTAATATTCTTAGCTCTAAAGGAGTCAACACATCACTTGATTTGCCTTCATTTATATGTTTTTGTTTTAATCCCATACTTCTTCTTTTATCTGACCAGAACTGAAATGTAATATAAATATTTAAAATACTATCACAACAGTTTTATCTATATAATAATATTATGTGAAGCAAAAACTTTCTAGCCTTTTTATGAAAATTGCGCAGACAGAGGAGTATGAAATTTCCCACACTTATAGTTTATATTGAGAATGAGTGCAAAATGCTATTTTTATTATAAATAAAAAAATACATTAAATCAATATAAAAAACATTACACACACTACCATGTATTTGACACACACAGGCATATATACTCTTTTCTGTATTGTATTTGAGAATAGATTAATATTGTTCAAACTTACAATTTAAATTAAAAATGGTCAAATTTGGACCACTTGGTGTCCACTAGTATATATATTTGTCATGTCAGACATAATATCAAGATCTTTATGTTTGTTGGTAATAATTTTGTGTTTTACAATATACACAGAACAATAAATATAACAATATTTACAATACATAAAACTTTTATTAAAAATAAATTATTATTGTACTGTATGAAGCCGATTTAATATTTTCTATTTTTGTATATTTATATTTTTATATTTTCAATTATTGTCTGTTTACTGTAAAATAAAGAAGCATTCCTTATTTTACAGTAAACAGACAATTAATGTAAAAAGTTTAATCACCTTAATCCATCCTTTCATGGACTTTCTTGCCCCTTCGAGACCATTAACAATATCTGATAACTCCATCCATAATGATTTGAATCTTTCTTGGCTCATACCATCTTTTTGTTTTCGGTTTGCTAAATCTGGATGTTTTTCCATAAATTCTACAATGGCTTTAACTTGTGTTAAAGAAGGTCGAGTAACCTAAAATTATTTCCTCTTCATTAAATAAAAACTATTACACCACTTAATAGATATTTGGAAAAAATGAAACATGCTATATAATTAAAATGCTGTTAATGTACGTAAAAATTTTAAAGAAAACATTTAGTAAGTTACTAAGGTTCCTACTTGAATACTAGAATAAACATAGAATATCATATATAAACAATCATGGTAAAAGTAATTTTGATTAAAAAAATTCATGTTGAACTCACGCGAGTTGCGTTTTCAGAATTTTCAATATCATCAAGAATATCACCCATAATTATACGATTTGATTCACACACGTTTAAATTGAATCTTAAGGAAAAATACAAAATATAATTTAATGAATGCTTTGATATTTTTAACACTAGGGTTTTAATTTAATTGAATTGAAAATTTGAAATGATTACTTAGTGAATTAAAGTTGGGACAATTGACTATGACTACTGACTACTACAGGAGTCAGGATACAGGATTACAAATTACAACAAGGCACAACAAGCCATAAAATAATACTTCTGCTTCTGTCATAATCATAAATAAAATGACACTTGACAGTGACACTAACATAAAAATAGAATGCTTTGTAAAGTTATAGATTATCATAGCATGCAGTGAGTATTATTTTGTTATATTTCATAAATATATGAATTTCATATGCATCTCAAAATAGGAAGGAACGCTATTAATATTAATTGTTTATTCACAATATAATAATAATATAAATCATTGCAATTTTATTTTCTTTTAATTTTCGATCCGTGGAATCAAACGAAAGGCAACTCTTGTTGTAAATTGTAAGTAGGTATATCTTTGTTATTTCCAATTTCCAGGGCTGTCAACTTAGCCACTGCCCCCCAAATTTAGGGGTAAACAAACGCGTTGGGATTTTTTAGGGGCGTTATATTTTTAGGGATTATCGTAACTTCTTATATCCTTTCCTACTTTTATTTTTTATTTATTAAGAAAAGCACAATCTACCCAATCATCTTTATTTATTGACCTAGCAGTTTAGCGACATCTAATACGGTTTTTTATTACTAAGAACATGGAGTTGAACTATGGAGAGTAGAGATAAAAAGTGTCCATCAAAACGCATTCAATAGCGCCAACAGTAATAATTTTTTTTAATATTCAATATTAATCTCATTTTGGAGTTACGGTAAAAATATTGTTTGTCTATTATTTTTTTTATAAAATTAAGTTCTGTATAATTTTTGTTAAAACATTTTTTGTAAGACCAACATTTTTGCTGCAATATACTTCATTGTATTATTCCATTAATCATTATTATCATAATCATCAGGCACAAGACGTCCACTGTTGAACATAGGCCTCCCCCTTAGAACGCCACAACAAACGACACTTTGCCATTTGCATCCACTGGTTACCCACAATTATTATGATGTCGTCGGTAACCTACCACCTAAAGAGAGGTCTTCCAATGCTACGTCTTCCGTTTCGTGATCGTCACCCGATAACCTTTACTCCCCATCAATCATCAGTTCTGCCCTCTGCCACTCCAACTTGCATTTTTTTTATGCGAAAAGTTGTCAAACGAGCAGACGGTTCACCTGATGTTAAGTGAATACCACCGCCCATGGACATCTGCCACACCCGAGGGTTACAGATGCGTTGACTCTTCAATGGTAGATATGGCCAATGGGATCACTTTCAAACCAAAAGGACACATAAGGACTGATAAGAAAACTATTTATTTCAACTTAAACATTTTAAACTTAATTTTAACGAAACGTAATCATTATGCAATTTATGTAAAATTCAAGAGTTATGTTAGATAACTATACATATTACTTCTTCAAGTTATTTTTACAGAATCAATCAAATATGACACAATTCAGTCTGAAGAAATAAAAGTAACATTCGTGAGATCTTGGTTCTTACACGGACGGGCCTGCCCATTCGTGCAACAGCCGAGGCTGCTGCGTGGCCATACCACCGTCACAAATCCTTGTTCTTCGGCGAATTTCCTCGTTCCGGATTTTGTCGAGCATAGCTCTCTCCATAGCTCGATGCGTGACCCTGAGCTTCTCGAAAAGGCCAGCTTTTAAATACCACGAACTCGTTATATACCCTTGTCTTCAGGCACTGAGGAATCTTGGACGAGAAGATATCGCGTAGTTTCCCGTACGCTGACCAGTCGAGTTGGATTCTTCGAGTGACCTTTTCGTCGAAGTTAGACCTGCCTAACTGGACCGTTTATCCATTCATGTGAAAAATATTGCAAAACTCTTTGCGCTATTTATTATTTTTTTATAACATTATTCTATTCGGTTTAGGGGTTTTTGATTTAAGTTTTAGGGACAAATATTTTTGAGAGTCTGTAACACTGCCAATTTCATCACTACCTATTAATTTATATATACTCTGCCTGGTGCCTGCATCTATGGCAAGTAGAGATGGGTCGTATCGCTTTTTCTGAGTACCGTATCTGAATCAGATTTCGATTTCAAATATCAGATTTCGAAACTATGTATTTTAATATCTAGATATATTACGGTCCCGTATCCACCTTGAATTCTTAAAAAAAAAAAAAAATTTTCAACAATATTTTATACTTATTATAAATTGTGCAGGCGTGACTAAATTCAAAAACCTTACTGAATTTAAAATCACACTTTTTTATACTATTAAGGTAAAATTAAAACATTACCTGATTAAATTAAAAATTTCATTAAAAATAGAAATTGAAGTAATATAAAAATGATTTATTTCAACATCTTATATATCGCTTAATAATTGACTTTAACATATTCTTAGAACACGCAATCATGACTGACAATATTTTTATAATTTGTGTAAGAAATAATACATTCAGTATTATAACGGCGGAAGAAATTAAAATATACACACAAAGCACATAAGCCTTGGTCTGATTTCCACCCAAGCAGCACAGCACTATTACATTATATTTTTCTTTTTGTGTAGTTTTATTTTTTTCCTAAAATATGAATAAAATTTAACTAATAAAAATATTCACAAAAAATTTACCTCCTTTATTAGGAGGTAAATTTTTTGTGAATATTTTAATAGGAGGTAAATTTCCATTTATATTTTTCTTCCTTAATTTAGGCAGAAAATTCTTAAGTAGTAAGTTGGCATCCCTTACTATTACGTGCTAGGTACCAATGCAATCCAGCTCAAGGTTAAACAAAATTTAAAGACATCGTTAATACCGTAATTCGTATTTAAATGCAACTAAAAATGTTTTTTTCCATGTTGTTAAGATTCAAAATTACTTAACTGCGCGCTTTGTCGCCCGTTACGGCTCAAGGCTAAACAAAACAATAAAAATATACTTAATAATATCGTTGTAGTAATCGTTGATACCATGATTAGTATTTAATTGAAACGGATCTTATTTGCATAGTCGTAAGATTCAAAATTACTTAACTTATTCAAAATATCTGTTTAAAAATCTGATATTGTGCCTTGCTTGCCGTACTGCTCTAACTAGTGTAATATTTGTATCTCACGCGCTTTGTCGCTCAAAATCTGTTTAAAAATCTGATATCGTGCATTGCTTGCCGTCCCGCTCTGACTAGTGAGTATTTATATCTCACGCGCTTTGTCGCTCGATATCTGATATCGTGCATTGCTTGCCGTCCCGCTCTAACTAGTGAGTATTTATATCTCACGCGCTTTGTCGCTCGATATCTGATGTCGTGCATTGCTTGCCGTCCCGCTCTAACTAGTGAGTATTTGTATCTCACGCGCCTTGTCTCTCGAAATCTGTTTAAAAATCAGATATTGTGGCAAACGCGTATGATATCGCGATTCGTGTCGGTATAGCGAGCGAGCACGGTACATCAGATTTCGGAAATATCAGATATTGTAAAATACATAGATATTGAACGAGCCAGTAAGCGATATTCGGATATTGTACTAATATCCAGTTTTCATATCTGATACGATATGTATCGCCCACCACTAATGGCAAGGAATTGAAGTCTTGTAGAAATACGTTTATGAACGAATAATATTTCGTCATTAAAATAAATTACTTCATACATGCCTAATAATTGGTTTGAACACAAAAGTACTCCAGTAAGACATAATACAATAAAGATGTAATAAGACGTTGAGTGGTGTTACATTGTTTTATCAGAAAGGTCAGTGTTAGAGTGATGATGGTTCAATTGACAATAATATTCAGCTGATTATTGTTTACAATATTTTAGTCATGTATTCCTTCGAGGGGGACTTTAGGCGAAAGCCCCAACAAAATTTAGCAGGTGCTAGTGCCCAACGTAAAACAGATCGAGATGCTTTGATATTGCAGTCACAACAACAAAGACAAAAACGAGAGGTTAGTTATGTTTTAAATATCATATGGCCTACAAATAGTACATCTTCTGGATAGTGTTTACCAGGAAGTTTCCAAATTTATTAGGGCATGGAACAGTTGGTAGTAATCGGCTTGTTTAACAATCTATATTTAAATTTTAGTGCACTTATTTTTATAGAAACAAATCTTCCTAAATTGTCAATGACATTGCATCTTTGAGTTTAGATTTATTAAAATTTTTATTGATGTATTCAATCAAGTTTCCAAATTTAAAGACAACTATTATATGGCTAATAATTTGTTTCTTCTTGATATAGTACCTATGAACTAGGAAAGTATTTTATAATACTGTTTGAAAATTACGGAAAACTTTTACTTGTAGTAAGAATAATCGGTACTTTTAAATATTACAGGAACATAGAAGACGCCTAAATAGTACAATCAAGATACAAGCTTATGTTAGAAGCTACCTTACACGGAAACATAGCAAACAATATGAACGAGAAAAATTTGATTACATTTTTCCTAAAACAAATCCTGATAACCAGGTTTTAGTTTCATCACTAGTTTCTAAGATATTATTCTTTTATGATGAACAAAAGGATTATAATAGATTGGTAAGGCCATTTTAAATATATTAATATTTATATATATATTAAATTTAAGATTATGTTTCTTTTAAATGTAATATTTAATTATGTAATATGTTTTTGTTTATTTTCTGTCTCTAAAAAACTTCTGACATAGTGTGAAAACTTTAGTTAACAATACTAAACAATACAAAACATTGTTTTCTATTTGTGTTTGAAAGGCAAATAACCGATTTAAAAGTTAATGTGTTATTCTAAATTTGTATTAATTAATTAATTCTTGTACTTGTATAGAATGTAGAGAAATTGCCTTTCATGTATATGATTTATTTATTTTGTTATTTTGTATACCTGGTTTTAAGAAGTAAATATCTGTAATTATCTTCTCAAATTATCTCTAGATATCAATATCACAGTTATTATTAAAACAATGGCAAAAAGTGTTTCAAAGTGGTGGTTCCTCAATTCAAATAAGAAGATTACTAGTATTACATCTTCGTTTACTGCGAGAAGAGTCTGAGGTAAAGCAATAATATTTTTGCTTGTAAAACACATATATTATTATTTTATTATGAATAACATTTTTGTCTCAGGTTTCATTAGCAGTGCCATTAAGAATGTTAGAGGTTTTTACTTCCTTACAATCTGCAGAATCTTCTATGAGCTATGAAGAAGCTGTTAATGTTATTGGTGGTTCTTTTTTCTACCTAATTAAAAGAGGTAAAGCATTTCTAATTTTATTTATTTTGTTTATATATTTTTATTAACACATTTTGTTAAATAATTTCTATTTATACAATTTCCAGGCTATTTTAAAGATTTATGCAACTTGATGTGCCAAAGGACTCCACCCCTGTATGGTCATTCACCAAATCCACCTACTCCACTATGTGGGGCATTGTTAGATTTAATTCAAAGACCAATTAATTTGACAACACAAATTAACACAATAGAATATGAGTAAGTTAATTACGTAAATAATGTGTAAGTCTTAAAAATGTCTCTTTGTTTGGTAATCATTAAACTTTAATCTTGGACCGTTGGTATCCATTTTGCACAATAATGTACAAATATCAATTCTTCGTTTCTTACAAATATCTATTTTTTTAAGTTAAACCTTTAAGATTTAATAATTATTTGTTTGTAGGCTGTTTATTTTTTATTTAAATAATTATTGGTATGTGATAGAAAAAGTTGAATTGTTCAATATTATACAGAGGTATAACAGTGATTTTGATGCTAGTATTATAACTGCCCACTAAAAAAACTATAGACTATCATGGTGGCTCACAGATGTTTGCTTAAACATATGACACAGTATAATGGTATCATTCTTTTCAGGGATACAGTCATGACAGAATTTACTTCGGCCTTCCTGTGCAATCCATATCCAGAACCAGTGGAAATGTATATGTTACCAGCATTAGCAATGGATCCGAATAGAAGGTTTCCATTCATATCTTTTGTGCGAAGCATGCAGGATGAGAGCAAATTCACTAGTGGAAAACTAGTAAATGATTCATGGTTATTACATTCCGTGCTGTCATTGGAACCCCCTGGATTTGGTAAGAATAACATATTACATTGCTTTTTTACATTTACAATTTATAAAAGTATGATTAGCTACTATGTCTTGGAAAACTAAGCAATATTTTATTAAATTTTTCAAATGTGAAATCCATACTAATATTATAAATGCGAAAGTAACTCTGTGTATCTGTCTCTCTTTCACGCCAAAACTACTGAACCCATTTAAATGAAATTTCGTACACCGATAGCTTATAAATATAATAAATAGCCTTAGAAAAAACATAGGATTTTTTATAAAAAAACAATTTCATCACAAATTTTTCAATTGGAAAAAAGTGTTATAAAGAGTTGAAAATGAATATTTTTAAAGAAAGATACTTCTTTAAGGGAAAATTTCAACACGAGCGAAGCCGCGAAAAGCTAGTATTTAATATATAAAATTCTTGTATCACAGTTTATACTCCTTCAAAACGTCTGGGCCGATTTTGATGACATTTTATATGTATGTTCAGTTGGTATGAGAATAGATTTATAACATTTTTTTTCCTGCAAATAATTTATATTGCAAAACTATGTTTGCCGAGTCAGCTTGTAACATTGTGAAATCCAACTTTTATACCTCATGTTTTTAATGTTATGAAAGTTTAAGAAATACATTTCTTTTTTATTGATAAAAATTAAAAGTAAAGTCATTGGAACATACCATTCATCTAGAGCCGTGTTACCTTTCAGCCGATTACCTTCGCGGCGCAGACCACGCGAGGCTCGCGAACAACCCAACTGTAATAGAATACCTGAAAGTGCTGGCCAGGCTGACGGAGAATGTGTGCAACAAGCAAATAACTTACGAATACGAGGACTCGCTGTACAGTCAAGAGACGGCGGCGGATAAGGACGAGGACAGCGACAGCGAGGTGGAGCCAAACCCCACCTCGGTGAGGGAGCAGAGCCTGCTCACGAGGTGCATAGAGATGATCAACGAGCCGGAGCGCTGCGTGATGGTGGCCTGCTCGCAGATCAACGAGAACGACCTCTGCGAAGACTTCCTAGAGGGCATATCCAAGATATGCCACAATCTGCTGCTCAGCCACAAGATGGCGCTGCACAAGTACAGGTATGTGACAGGATGAGTGTAGTGCATGGTTAAATTTCAGTGCAATGTAAGTTGTATATAGCTTATAAGGCAATTTTTAGGGGTTTACATTATACAGGAATAAGCCTCGTCTTAATAAGAATTGACACACAATTTCTCGCATCGTATTGGTTGTTTGGCCTTGCAAATGATCAGTGTGTTGTAGACTTTTGCGTTTCAGCAATTTATAAAAATTTGTTGCAGGTGCAATTCCTCTGTGGTGTGCATAATAATCCGGTACTTAATATCTTGTAAGAATAATGTATGGAGTATAATTAATTGCCAAGGGAATAAGATATTATAAAACAGTCATTTTATTCACATTGAAGACCAGATAGGGTTTAATTCTGAATAACCGTGATAGCTCATTGTTCGAGCGCTCGCTTTTATTTCAATATACTCGAGCAAAATAATATTGAACTCATTGTGCCAGCACCAATGAAATTGTTAATAATAATTGCCGCCTTATCACGTGCTCAGCACGGTGAAGGAAAACGTCGTGAGGAAACCTTCATATTTTTTATGTTACGCATAAAACGGAGTCTATACAGATTTCTTTAGCTGCGCGGGATAACGGAGCCTATGCATTCGAACATTGGGTCGCTTTCCGCGTGTCAGGCTGCTGTACACGCTGGCGTTCAAGCCGCCGTTCGTGCGCGGCGTGTGGCGCTGGCTGAGCGGCATGAGCCAGGCGTCGTCGTTCGGCGGGCCGGGCACACCGCTGCTGGCCGTACTGTCCCGCGGCGTAGGCGCGCCCGGCGTCGGCCGACTGCTGGCGCCGCTCGCGGTCTTCTGCGCGCTCTTCACGCTGCTCATCGGCACGCTGCACGACGCGGAGTTCTTCCGCGACGGCGACGACAAGCCCACAGGTGAGCGCTTCTCCGTTGCTGTTGATTGCGCTGACTGTACCCGCTGTGCTGCTTACTACTCGAGCCCACCGGTGAGCGCGCGCTTTTCCGTTGCCACTTATTACGCTGACTGTACCCGCTCTAGTCACTGTACTCGAGCCCACCGGTCAGCGCTTTCCAATGCAGTAGCATTTGCACTGCAATCAGTAGATTACGCTGACTGTACTCGTTCTTAATAAATCACTATAATAACTCTCACTGATTATTCTGATTGTGTTCTTCTTAAAATTTTACGGAGGTTTTAAATGTGAGTTAGAGTCGGCGTGCTGAAGCAATTTGCTGCGTTCCACTCTAAAGCGGATTCGCACTTAGTCTGCCAGTTAGCGTCTTTCGAGTACTACTGCTGATTATGCTGACTGTATTCTTCTTAAAATTCTTTGGTACCGGCATTAAATCGTATTTGAGTTTAGTGCGGCTTCAGTATTACTCATTCTAAATATCATTTTGCACACGTACCATCCTATTCTGTTTTATGTTATGCTAATTGTGTACTTAGTGTTTCGTACGCGTATAATTTTATTAAGTATTATGCACTCGTGAGAACAAATGAGGATTTTTAATTTTTCATACCTACATTAATTGGTTCAATACTTCTTTATAAGGTGCGTTTTATAAAACATTTCGCCGTTCTATTTAACGCGAAAATGTGGACCACATATATAATTTCTGCGGTAATAATATTTCATAACGCTCAATGCTAAACAAGCTAACGAATAAAACCTTCCACCGCTATTAATCATCTATCCTGTTTTTTATTTCTGAACGCACTTTACACGCGGAACATCTTAGAGCGCCTAAACACCTATGCTCGTATGAACGAGTGAACGAATATTCGCCTCAACAGTATAATCATCTTCAACGCTCGCACGAACGAGTGAACGAATGAATGAACAAACGAACGAACGAACGAATGAACGAACGAACGGACGATAAATCGGAGTCACGTGCAATTTGGAACGGTGCAGCGAGCGCGGCGGGTGCGTCCGGGGCGCGTACGCACGCGTTCGAGTTCTCCGAGCTGGGCGGGCTGTGCCGCGCGTTGAGGCAGCTGTGCCTCGGCCTGCTGGAGCTGGCCGTGCCCGACACGAGGCCAGCTCGGACGCCCTATATGCATCCGCACCAGCACGAGCACTCGCCCGTGTGGACGCACCTCTTCAAGGTACTCGCACCGATTACTCGACTCTATTTTGTACCCGAAGGTGGCAGAAGAGCTCGCGGCTCACCTGATGTGTCACCTAAGTGACATGTCACCTAAGTGATTGCCGCTGCCCGTGGAAATTTACACACGCGTAGGATTGCAGATGCGTTGTCACCTTTTAATAAATTGGGCCCCGCCTACCTTACTCATCGGACGAAACGCGGAAATATAACACTTCAATTCACGCCGGTCTTCTGCGAAGTCGTGTATTATAAGTATATTTTACGAACGGATCTGCCCATTCGCGCAACAGCAGAAGACTATCGCGTGGCCATACCACGGTTAAAGTCCAAAAGATTTCTGTAAAAGTTAAAAAAAGAAATAGTGCGTGGAGTTCCTCCGCGCGGAAGAAGTGAAACTTCGAGCACCATATTCCCCCTCCCCAGGAGCGTTGAACGTTTAACGCAACAGTGCTTTCATTTCCACTCCATGGTGGCGTTAAACGTTTAAGGCAACCTTGTTGGAAGTCACATTACAAGTTGCACTTGAATAAATGAAATTAGCGAGTTGTTAGACGGTTGTGTCCGCCCGCGGCAGGTGTGCACGCAGCTGTTGCGCGCTCTGTACGCGCGCGACGAGCGGCTGCGCTTCAGCGCGGGCGCCGCGTGGGCGGGCGAGAGGGACGAGGACGCCGCGGAGGTGGCCGCGCTGGTGGCCTTCGCGAGGGCGCGCTCCCGCCAGAACGCGCCGCTGGTGGACGCGGCGCGCGCGATCAGCAACGGTGAGCCCGCCGCGGTCGTGGTCGTCGCCGTGGTCGAGGCCGTAGTCGTGGCCGTGGCTGTGGTCGTGGCCGTGGTCGTGGCCGCGGCGGAGTGGTCGTCGACATTTGCGGGCGTGTAGGTCGAGTCTGGTGTGAAAGCGTTGCGGCGCGGACGTGTGGTTGGAGCTTCAGTGTGTTTGTGGTCGAACGTGTTCTTATATATTTTTATAACAATACGGTTACGGCGTCGGCAAATGCTTGATTGAGGACGCTGGTAAAAGCGATTTCTGTTTAGGTCTATGCGTGAAAGTAATATTTTATCATCCGGCGTATACTGGCGCAATACTATAAAGTTGGTGTCTACTAAGGAATGTTGTGTATGATGAGTTTTATATCAATATATAGAAAATGTATAAAATAAAAATATATATAATAAAATTCACTACGGTGCTAATATACCATAACTTCTACAAGAAAGCGCCAAAGACTGTTAAAATATTGGCTACACAACGCGAGTACTAATTGACCATAAGTTCTTTATCTTATTTAACATACCTACTATATACACAACTTTATTGTATACATTGTGAATTTTTTTCAATTATAAACACGTATGAGATACTACTACTTATACCTCCAGAGTCATTACATATCTAATACTCAACGCAAACAATATGGTTTCGTTTTACAGAAGAGGGGCCCCCATTAACGATAAAAGAATTGAGGATGCTTACTATTCTGAAGGAGATTCCGTTCGTCATGTCGTTCTCTACAAGGGTGTTGATATTCCAGACGTTGCTCCTACGGTATGAGATTCATACAATCATTAAATATTGGGGGCGTTATGCAAGATCATTTAATCTTTTGTTTATTTCAGGGAAAAGAGCGCGAATTGGTACGAGCTGTCAAGCTTCAATGAGGGTCCATCGATAAACATCAGTGTCCGTCGCACGCATTTGTATGAGGACGCATTCGATAAGCTCAGTCCAGACAATGGTAATCATAATTATTTCTCTCCTTTTCTTTGCCGTTTGATCATAATTTTGTTCCCTCTTATAATGAACGCTTGGATTATTTAATAAGTTCTTTTATATGTGAGGGCTGGCGGTTCACCTGATGTTAATATGTCAATAGATATGTATATGTAGTGTAAATAAAAATATAATACAGTGCACAAAGCCGGAGTTCATTACGCATATGAAACGTTTGTAATAACATTTGCGGTAGGGCCTCGCAACCGTGTTCTCTGTTACACGAATGGGCAGGTCCGTCCGGGTAAGAACACCGACCTCACAGAATACAGGCGCGATGTGGAATGTTATACTTCTGCGTTTCGTCGGCGGTTATCTCTTAACATCACGTGCACCGCCAGCTCACATAAAAAAGTGTTCGCTTAGATATACCAATATAGATGATGCTAGTTAACGCTATTTGTGATTTCTGAGTGTGTTGGGCAGTTGCCCATTAATGGCAACTGCCCAATGCTGTACAAAAACGAACGCCTGGCCACTGAGCGATCAATTATAAACAATAAAATAATAAAAATATAATTCTAGTAATACAGACAGATTGATCATTAGCTGTACTCGTTTCTTTTTCAGAACCGAATTTGAAGTTGACGATGCGAGTTCAGTTCATAAACCAAGTGGGCGCCGACGAGGCTGGAGTGGACGGCGGTGGGGTCTTCAGGGAATTCCTGTCGGAACTCCTCAAGTTAGTGATATACGTATTTTTATATTTATTTATCAAAAAATTTATTTTCAGACCGGCAATATTGAATATGTCTGCCCTTGTTCTGTAATTAAAACTCAAATAAAAAAAAAAACGTTTGTTACAAAAGTTTAACATACTCATGTTATATTAGTTGGTTTTATATATTGGTGGTCTACTACTTATATTAATTCATTACTTGCTTCAACTATTTTAAATTCCTCCTTTAATTTTACTTTCAGATCAGCCTTTGACCCTAACCGTGGCTTGTTCCGTCTAACAAAGGATAATATGCTGTATCCAAACCCAGGAGTGCATTTATTGTACGATGATTTTCCAATGCACTATTATTTCGTTGGAAGAATGTTGGGAAAGGTATTTTTTAAATTTTTGTTATCATTACGTAATTTAGGAATTCATTAGATTGGGCAACACCTTTAAGTTTATTTAACTTCAATTAAAATGTTTTGTCAACAAAGATAAACGTTTTCAATTAAAACAAAATTTTTAATTTTTCAAGTAGCAAATGCGCAAATTTGTACATTTGAAGTTGAACCATACGATGTAAACAATAAACATGATTGAATTTTATTTCAAAAATTTAATTAACGTATTTTGATGTCGCTTACTTTGGTGGAGATAACGCAGCAGTTAGCTGTAGCGTGGTTGGCTCGTCCGGGGAATAACCACTACTACACAATTGCCCATCCATTTCATTGCTTCAGCTGGTGTGATACAAGCACTCCGATCACGGCAGCATGTCGTCACAGGGGACACTAGCCTAACTTTTACGTGGGAATAATCCTTTACGGAGCCCCTGCCACTGTATCGGGCGAGTGGCAGGGGCATTTGGCAGGGGTATTTGTCGGAAACGGGTACCAACTAAGGATACGGGAACACGTGGGCCCAATCTACCGCGAACCCGGCCCGACTGTAGCCTTCTTGAACGTACTCCTCTCGGGTGACATACGGTCCGGCCAAGCAGTGCCGTGGCGGTGTAATTGGCATTAATAATCATTCCGATCATTAAGATCATTCTTATCAATTCAGAGAGTAACCATCCTTTTGGCAACCGAAATGATATTTGACAGCTGATTAGTTATCTTCTACGATGATCAGTGTTTAAAAACCGGGCGTAAACTTCTAAAGACTTCTGTATGTTCCTTACAAGGCACAGCGCCCTTAACGAAGGGGACACTAGACTTAACTGGTCTAACAGTACGTTTTCTGCAGGCGCTGTACGAGAGCCTGCTGGTGGAGCTGCCGCTGGCGGAGTTCTTCCTGGGCAAGCTGTGCTCGTCCCGCGAGCCGGACGTGCACGCCCTGGCCTCGCTGGACCCGGCGCTCTACCGCGGGCTGCTGCTGCTGCGCGCGCACCGCCGCCAGGACGTGCCCGAGCTCGGGCTCGACTTCACGCTGCTCAGCGACGAGCTCGGCGAGCAGAGGGTGAGCTTGTCCGAGATACGATGCGGATTTATAGGCCTACGGATATCCTAACTCTGGAACTCGTCCGGGTGTGCATCGCGTGATAGGCCCGTTTGATCACTTGTATTAGTTGCTCGAAGCAATGTTTGATCACTTGTATTAGTTGCTAGTAGCCGCTTAAAGCGGTAAACTTGGTCTTGCAATCAATCGTAGCAAGACAAAGTTAATGGTCGTGGATCGCGCCGGCCTTTTGTTTCGTTAGTACTGAAGGCAAAAGATCACGTGGCCGATCTCCAGCACGATGGACTGACTGACCAACTCAAGGACACAGAACCGTCTCCGAATTTCTGCGATATGGTTAGGACCGCGATGGACCGGAATCGATGGAGAGATCTCATTCGTGCTAGAACGACGACCGCCAACCACGATCATCAGACATGATGAAAACGACCAGAAAGAAAGATTAGTTGCTCGGCGAGCAGAGGACGAGCTCGTCTGAGAAGTACTGCGTACTTCCGTACAGTAGTTCTAACTTAGCTCAGGGTTTGGTGCCGTTGGTTAATAAGTCTAGGAGTGTTCCCGCTCAACTGCTGAGGAAGCTATCAAGAGTACACCTTAGCTGAGGTACTGTTCGGCTTAGCGATGAGCTTGACGAGAATAGAGCGAGTCGCTTTTCTAAGTATGAACACGCGTTAATATGTCGTGCAGCTATTTTGACTTTGACTAAGTATCTCGGTTGCGAACGTCGAGTTAGGCGAGCAGTGTAAGGCTTCTGTCTGAGTATATCCTAACTAACAAGGCTAGAGGGTGGCCTAACTCGACTGAATTAGCACAGCGGCAACTTTACAATGAACCTTTAACCAGATCTACACTCATTTACTGTATTCTGTTTTGCAAAACTCAGGATCACGCCGCGCAGCGACCGCTCGGTGAATAAACATTGAGCCGTTTATTTATTCCGTCTGCGCCCCATCCTAGTAAGAGGGGCACAACATACGACTCGTCAGAGATATGACGCCATTGACGGACGGGCTGAACGTAGCCGAGGATACGTGGGCGTATTTTAAGTGAACTATGTAGTGTCTTGGATATTCTCGTCTACTCCTCTCTCACCAGTTGAATAGTTACTGTGCCATGAGCACGCCGAGCATGGGATCAGTCAATTACCTCAGAATGGTAATCATGCCGCGTCAGTTATGGCTTATGAAAGTCACAATAAGCTTAGGCAGAAATAAACGAAATTGTTTTACAAGGAAACTCCAATAGTTGTTTTACAATCAATTTCGTATTGTTCGTCATTCCAGATAGAGGAGCTGAAGCCGGGCGGTGCGAACATTCCCGTTACGGCGGAGAACAGAATAGAATATATTCACCTCGTCGCCGATTACAAGCTCAACAGGTATGGCGTTACCAATGTAGTACCTAATTTAAACGCTCGGATCACTATTAGAAAACATTATAGCATTATTGTCAAATGTTTTATGATTTACAATACAAGATTTAATGACATATTAAGATTCGATGGAATAAATATAAAACTTTGACGGACTGACCCATTGAAATAAAAAAAGAATATGCTAAACAGATTTCAAGGCTTTATTCATTTCTGGAAGTAATAGTCGCAAGTTGGCGCCGCCCGACAACTATTTTGCACGTAAAGAAACTAAACAAGTAAAATACTTCTGCTAAAGATAAGATAAAAAAAAATAAAACCATATAACCCACCTTATTTTATGACTCCGTGGCGCAGTTGCCAAAGTATTGACACACACGGGGCAACTATTTGTGAGAAGCACAGATATTTATTACGTCATCATCTGGGTGTTTGACCATGTGAAATTTGTGTTTGTAAAACATGCATATAGCACAGCATAATGTTATCCTAAAGTAAGGGAAATGTTTTTTTTAAAAAAAAAAGGAAAGAAAGAAAGATTGTTGTGTGTTAAACATTACGGGTCGTTTCGTAGACAGATAAGGTCGCAGTGCAACGCTTTCAAGCGCGGTCTGACATCGGTCGTGAACGCCGAGTGGCTGAGAATGTTCTCCTGCAGGGAGCTGCAACTCCTCATCTCTGGTGCAGAGGTGCCCATAGACCTGGAGGACTTGAAGAGGAACACTCACTATGCCGGTAAGTTACTTAATTTTCGATTTTATCGAATTGTCGTTAAGTAAGCGAGGTGGGAATGGGATTGGGCTATTTAGTCCTCAGCTTAATGCGGAAGAACGAATGAGTGAACGATAAGAGATTTATGGAACAATGAATGAGTAAACGAGATTTCTTAAAAGAGATTTACTTCTTTTGTTTTTAACGTTTAACATCGTGAGGAAACCTGCATATTTTCGAAATACTAACCTAAAAACAATTTTGGAAGATATGTGAAGTGTACTAATGCGCCGGTGGGGTCGCGCGGTGGACTATGTCCTAAAAACCCTTTCTGATTTTTACTTTTCTCGGAATGAAAATTACACCGTTGGCCCAAAAGAACAATTAGTGTACGAACTGTAATTTTGGCGTGTTGCTGTTACGTTGTGAGGTATCCAGCTGTATATATATACTGAATGCGATCCCGTAGGAGGCTTTTCGGCGACTCATCCGACGGTGCAGTGCTTCTGGAAGGTGGTGGAGAACTTCACGGACGACCAGAGGCGGCAGCTGCTCAAGTTCGTCACCAGTTGCTCGAGGCCACCGTTATTAGGGTTTAAGGTAAGTCACACAAGTATTATGTATTTGCTTTATAGATTAGATATATGATGTATTTCAATTTCACAAATTGAATAACAGAAATCGGGAGAATCGTGAAATAACAAACTTCAATTTCAATTTTTACAAGGGGTACATTTCATCTTAGTATTTATGGATGTTTTTTATCTTGGTATGTAAATGAATAAGACTATATGTAAAAAAAAAAAATAATGTATCATATGTAAATCAGGGCATAGTCCACCACGCGGCCCCACTGCGTATTGGCGGACTTCACATATCTTCGAAATATATATATTTCTTGTTATTATTTCGAAAATATGCAGGTTTCCTCACGATGTTTTCCTTCACCGCGGAGCACGTGATAAGTCAGCGCTTAAAGTTAAAAACTTCATTGGTGCCGGCACCGGGGATCGAACTCAGGTTGCTCGAGTATATTGAACTAAAGGCGAGCGGCCGGACACTGAGCTATCACGGCTCTGCGGCTATAATACGTATGAAACAAAAAATATTCAATTAATATCATCGTCTTCTATTAACTCTAATTGGCGCAAATTATTTTTTGTTGCTATCCGTACTTTTCTTTGCCATCTGTACTTCTCTTTGACATCTGCACTTCTCTTTGACAGATCGCGGTCATAACTCGCACATTTTTATATGCATGTACCTTTATTATTCCTGGATTTATTAAATGTCTTATTTTTATTATTATTATAATTAATTCCCGTTTCAGAGAAGCGACATTTAATGCACCTACAAATAATTCCCCTCAGGATCTCATCCCGTCGTTCTGCATCCAATCGGCGGGCGCGTCGGACCGGCTTCCGACGTCGTCGACTTGCATGAACCTTCTGAAACTTCCCGAGTTCAATTCCGAGGAGGTGCTCGCCGAGAAGCTGCTCTACGCTATACAGGCCGGCGCCGGATTCGAGCTTAGTTAATATGTGTAAGTTGCAATTTTACCCTGCACTTAGATGATACTTAAATGTGTGTTTGATACATAAATTGTCGATTACAACCTGCCTCTTCTGAATGCGAAATGTGTATTCCCGGGTGACGTCAGTTCAACTTTGAATATTTTCGTCGACTTATCTATTTAAAACAATTAAAAATTTTTGATGTTTTCTATATTATTCTCAGCTCGGTCGGGGTTCATACGCTTACGAGATCGGTGGGGCTACATGTTGCGTGCGGTGAATTATTGCCTTTGCACCGCAATCTACAAGATTTTTGTCTCTTTCCCGCTAAATTTTAAATATTAATGACATTATTCGTTTTTAGTGTTTTTATACACAATTTTGGACTTGACGGTAGATGATTATGATTTGTGTGGAAGGGGGTGGGTGGTTGGTTGGTTGGTTGGGGTTGGTTGGAACTTATCCAACAACCATTTAGACCTAGAAGCAGATCTTCTAGGCTGTAGTCATTATAATGAGTATTGTAATCATCTATTAACTTTTAATCGTTTAAATTTGTATTTATAGATTTTTTAATAAGTTGTAAATTGTAATATTGGCGTTTTTAAATAATGTATGACCTGTAGTAATCTTAAGGATGCGAAGAAGTTTTAAAAGTTTTTCTTTTAATTAAATTAAATGTATTTTTTTCCAGGTACATGGATTATAGGAAGTAGATTTCTTTTATCTACTTATACACGGCTCTATTATTTTTCCACTATTATGTACTGAATGTAAATCTCATTGTGATAATGCTAATCTTTTAGAGGCGTTTTGTTGTGTAAATAAATGTTACCCCGAATTGCTCTGTGTACTTTTATTTATTTGTCAGTCGAGTGACAAATCGATGTTTGATACGATATGTTAACATAATTGGAATTTATACAATTGGCATTAAGTTACGATTGTAAAGTTATAAAACTATTTTCTGGGACGTTGCGAATAGAACAAATGTAGACTAAGTAGTAGAATGACTTAAAAATCGATACTCGATGTACATAAAAATTGTAAGGGTTTGGTATATTTCTACATGTTTGTTTACTGTCACCTCTGGGAAGTCTTGTTTAGCGGCTTGATAAATCTATGCTTTTACGAAGTTTGTTGATAGAAATCATTCAGTGTCAAATTTTGAAACTTACGATTTAGCATTTATGAAATAAAGTTGTCAAGCTTCCACCGCTTTGTTTTTTTTTCTGTACATAATATTTAATTTTGCGCATTTTCTTTCAACCGGTACCTGTAATCTTATAATTTTTGGCATTGGCTTTTAAGACTATTGCGTAACTGTTTGCGACATAAATTGTTAGAGTATTATCCTTAAAATTAAATATGTTAATTTTTAATAACATTAATCGATTAGATAATACAGTATCATATTTTTTTACAGTTTGGAAGTAACTTAATTTTAAATGGTGTGAAACTTATAAATTAACCAAAAATAAAGCAGTAATAACATCTAAGATTTTTTAGGACTTATTTATTATATGCTTAATGAATACGCAAACACTGAACGCTATAAATGAAAAAACGAATATAAGTTTTTTTTTGCGTTTAATTTTGATTTTATTTTTCGTCGTTTCGAATCCTCATGTCTTTGGTCACAGGAACATGAGATGCTGTCGCCCAAAATGTCATATTCCCGATTAGCGTCAACTTTCAATAATTCATTTATTCCGATCTATTTAGTAGGAGCTTACAGTAACTTGAATTCTGACTTTTTGTTTTAGTTTGCTTGGGTTTAATTACTTATATATTATTATTGTATTCAAAGCTGGTGGTAAAGTCCAAACATTTCTGTTCAAATTAAGATGTTTTTTAAGTTCAAGCCCCACGATTCATTGTTTGTGTCACTCTCAGCATTTTTTGTTTGTCAAAACATAATGGTTGCGTGCGCTCTTTTGTGTGTTCACAAACAGCAGAGTTCCCTAACCAGCGGTGCTTCACATAGTGTGTATGTTTATTTAATAAAGATATTAATATCTGTTTTTGCTGCGATATAAGAGCCCAGATTCACAGTTCAACTTGTACACTTATTTGTATAGGTCAATTTTCTATACACTGTATGGCTCAAGGTGTTATTAGGATTAAAGTCAATAAAATATCAAGATGCTTTCTTTTAGAAAAAACAAAAATTGGTAACGGATTTTTTTGAATTTTGTATTATATACCTATATGAATGTTTTTAGTAAAAATTATCGATTTTAAATTTGGAAAAGAAAAGATGAAATAATTAACAGGGTACCTTTCCTTGAACTTACATACACGACAGTTAATTATGTGATATGATTATTTTTATCAAACCGTTTTTGAATCTCATTACGCCCCGCTCGTGTAAACTTATTTCTGAGTACTAAATACTAAACAAAATCAATGTTTTAGTACAACTACATAAGCGTTATACCCAAATTGTCTACTAACGACTGCTGCGATTATTCGCTCATTAGAGAACTCCGAACAAGGAAGGTTATATAAATTACATATATAATAACTAAGTAACCGTGAACTTGGAGCTGGGAACCCATCAATAACGAGCATTAATATTGGCTTAGGTGCATTCATCGGTTCCAATATGGCCGCCACTCGCCGCCATTAGCGGTTTGACAGTTGCAATCAATCAGGACTGATGAATGAGGTTCGCGAGGCGACGTGCGTGCTTACCCTGTGTGCGGTAGCCCGTCTATCATGCGAAGTGGCTGCCAATAAGCCTCCTCTTTGGGACAATCCCGCTTGGTATATCTTACAAAAATAGGATACGTCCAAAATAATTTTTTGTTTTACCAATATTTCCAGAATCGGGCTTTCAGAGCAATAACAAGAATAAAAAAAATATCAAATGAAACAAAACTGACTGCATTAAAAGTGAAATATAAATAATTTTTTATCTAAAAACTCTTTTTCATGGCCACCATATTGATGTAATTTTCTACCGTATGTCACTCCTTCGAAAGACGAATCTAATGTCACACTAAACAAAATAATTTTTGGATTTTTTTATCGCGTTATTTAAAGTTTCTTAGGAAGCGAACGAACACACTGAAGTATAGATCGTTTTCTTTACAATTTTAGTTGCAAAAATTCTAAAAAAAGGGATTATTCAACGCGTTTTCGGTTTAAGAGATATTGGTGACTTGAAGACAAATCACGCCCAACCGACGAACGGTTCGTATTGCTTATAGTCATTTTCCATGGCAGCATGTGAATTGACAAGAACCATTGCGCAAAAGCAAGTACATGGGAGATTGCATTAGAGTGAATGTTGCTTGCCTATAAATGTATTGCAGTTGTAAAATACGTATTCCGCAATTTCTTAGGTATGGACTGCAGCGCCTGTGTAAGAAATTATTCTTTGAATTAGTTTACACACACATTTGGTTATTCAATAGAAGAGATAGGCTTATAATAATATATCAAATAGACGTATTTTCTACAGAAAGCAACAATTAAGACGGACTAAAATCAAAAACGTTTAAACGACCAAGAATTATTGTCAGTAAAAATAAAAACATTGTTAATAGAAGAAAGAACTATTGTAATATAACTTAAAATATTATATTTAGAATAAGTTAGTAATCTCCTTTTATTTTCAATTATATAATTATCTATAGTGATTTTAGTAAGGCTTTTGATAAGGTCAGACACGATTTGCTTATAGAGAAACTCTCGTCCTTTGGAATCACTGGTGATGTTTTGAATTGGTGCAGATCTTATGTTACAAACAGAAACTCCATAGTTGCAATTGGTTGGCATAAATCTAAACCTTTTGATGTCATCTCCGGAGTTCCTCAGGGTTCTCATTTGGGTCCTTTACTTTTTAATATTTTTATTAACGACATTAGCAAATGTTTTCATAATTCTAAATTCATCATGTTTGCTGACGACCTAAAATTTTACAGGAAAACAAATTCAACTGACGACGAAATATTGTTACAAAGAGATTTGGACTCTCTAGTATCTTGGTGCAAGTCCAACGATATGGCCTTAAACGCTACCAAATGCTATGTTGTTAGCTTCACCCGAAAAAAGGTTTCACTTCCAAGAATGTACTGTGTGAATGGCACTTTACTGGATGAGGTTGACAACATTCGTGATCGTTGATTCATTCGTAACTCTCGATAGTAAACTGCGGTTTAATAATCATATAGAAAACATAATTAAAAAAGGGTTAAAGACTCTAGGATTTGTGCTGCGTAACTGTAAGGAATTTAGGAACCCTATGATCAAAATTGCGATATACACCGCCCTGGTGCGTAGCAGCCTGGAATACTGCAGTGTTGTGTGGAACCCACACTATGATATTTATGTCAAACGTATTGACAACGTACAAAAGAGATTCTTGTGGCAACTAACATTTACTTGTAATTTAGCTAAAACTCTGAAAAGCTATAAAGATCGTTTGGACCACTTTACACTCAAATCTCTCTTTGTCCGTAGAAAATTCATTGATATTATGTTTCTGTTTAAACTAATCAACGGTCACACAGACACAATTAATCTGCTGTCTAAATTGTCTATTTGTGTACCTACGAAATTGCCAAGATCACTAAAATATGTTCCATTTGTACAAAAGGGAGCAAGGTCTAATTTGGGGCATCACTCACTATTAAATAGTATAACAAGAAGTTACAATGATGTTTATAATAAATGTATTGATGCTGACCTAATTGACCACGGTGGTAAGAAGGTATTGAATGCTAAAACAGCAACCATCGATATATTCGCAAACAGTTTATATGTATTCAAGAAAAATATTGCGAAATGCTTAGTATAAATTTATATCTTTTTTATGTTATTTTTATGTCGACTGTTGTTAAAAATTTATTATTGTTAAAATTTTAATATTGTTTATTCCAATTTTATTAATTTATTATGTAATCAAAATATTTCACAGACGTTTACTTTTACTCCTATGTTTATAACATTTTCGATTTCACCTTCATATGTGTCTAATGTAATGATAATGTAATGAATTGTGTTTTTTTTAGGATTGATTTGAATTGTATTAGTTTAATCGTTGTTTTATCAATGCTTAAATAATCCTGTTTCTCATGCAAATACCACAATTAATTGAAATGTCGTATACAGCTGTAATTGAGGTGGCACTTAACATGTTTTTCCGTACAATTAGTGTACACTTAAATTTTTTCATTGTCCATTTCGTTGGTGTGTCAAATAAATAAATAAATTAAACATAATAGGAAATTATGTTTAATTTAATTAAACTATTGAAATGAAAACGTTGTTAAATTAAATGTTCAACATTTTATATTTAACTTATATACTTACATTATATTTAACTTGACGTCATCTTCGATTGTAAGCGATTGGCGACTTAAACGAAAAAGTAAGTGATACGAAAGTCTTATTGACGCTAACGTTTCCTACGCGAGAATGGGGCCAGGCTGATGTACTTATGTCGTGAGTCATCTCGGGCCACCGAGATCGCGGCCTTTCGATTCAATGCCAATGAAATTGAAAAGATTAAACGATCGCCTGTCAGCCGTAATGTGAATCAAATGGCCGCGCCATATTTTAATACACTGAATAGGCAGGCGACTTTTCCCCCTTTTTTGTGCTCAAGTGTTGCACGGTTAGAGATATAAGAACTTTTTGTCCCCGACACTATCTTCATTAACAAAAGCCTCTTATTTTTTTTAAACCATTCAATGTACACTGCTTAAAAAATGTTTTATTATCGACGTTTTACGAAACTAGTGTAGTTAGCGACGTCCCATTTTTACGTTCAAGGATATTCGATTTCAATTTAATTAATATATATGTTTTTCCTGCGCTAACTTTCAAATAAACTATAACATACATAAATTAAAATCTCTAGAACAGAAAGATATTCTGAAGTTTATAAACGATTTTGTAAATCAATATGCTAATATCGATTTCCAGTATTGGCTTTATTTAAGTATTGTCATTGCGCAATCAAAACTTACAAACTATGTCTTTGTTTTGACGTCAATAAAATGACGGATTTCCTCAGTGCAAACAACATTTTTTTTCTATTTTATATAAGTTGCATCGATCATTACATTTATTATTATAATAGCGACGTTTTCCTATTGTTTAAAAATATCTGTAAATGCATAAAATGTTGCGTAAGGTTGTAAGTAATTACCGAAATTAAAACCCGTACATAACCTTATGACAGCGATTAAGCCGACGTGACCTACGTCGTTAAGTACGTCATTGCGTACCGTTTAATTCTGGAGTCGATCCGGAGTCCTTTTAGGCGGCGTCGGCTTCTTGTTGGCAGGCGTCTCACGCGCCGCGACGCCCGTTCCTCTTGCCAATTCGTCGGCATATTCGCAACATTGTTTGCCACGTTCCGTGGAAAGTACTCGAGCGGCGTGACACGAGCTCTGAATTAAAGTCGAAGAAATCCGCAGCGGTTCCATGACGTAGACGCCATGTTTATAGCGAATAGCAATATATTAGTGACCGTTGAATAGAAAATATTACCAGTTAGGAAACAACGTTGGCGTCTATTCTATTCTTACTCTATGTACGGCACGTTTTGAAACCGTCGAGATGGTCGACAAATTTTAAATTAATTTTTTTTTTTGGTTTATGTCTTCTTTATCCTTTATTTACGAATCAAGGTACGGAGTAGTCTTAGCAACGGCGACGTACTGAAGTTGTTATTTCTGTTGCCGTTATATCAACAAATACTAAAAAAACAAAATAAAAAAAAATTAAGTGGGGCACCCATACAACAGACATGATTTTTTTGCCTTGCTATAGATAATTGTACGGAACCTTTCGTGCGCGAGTCTGACTCGCACTTGTCTCAGTTAGTCGTCGAATAATAACTTTATGTTTATCCGTCATAACGAATATTCTGGTCGTCGACAAACCTTTCGTAAGTTGGTTGTGATACTATTTTATTTACGTATATATATCATATGAATGTTAAACGCAGGACCTGTAAGACAGAATGAATAAAAAAAGTGCTTTTGAATAAAACATATCTATATTATACTGAACAAAGCAGCTGCACATAAATGTCTTAATTTCACCTCATGCGATCGTGTCAACAATGCAAAATTATTGACAGTGATAATGGCCCATATAAAATCATAATATGAAGTTTATTTTGTTTGACAGTGGTAAGGGTGATTGCACAAAATGTTTTATAAATTTTTAATAATAAAGAAGCTGTAAATTTTTCTTAGGGGAAATAAAACATTATTCTGATATATTAAGTATAATATATACAACTTTGTGCTATTAGCGCGTCCATAAATCAATCAACATCGAATTAGAATCGTCTTCCTTCTCTGTCTGTCTCTCTCTCTCTCTACAGCTCATAAAAACTCTTAGTTCTCGTATTCCAATCGCCATCATTCCATTTTATGAATTTCTATGTTTCTAAAGGTAAATAAATATTTGACAGAAAATTTTATGACACCTTTAAAAAAAGTACTAGCAAGACACTTTTAAACATGCTTGCATTGTTTGTCATGCACCATTCATTTTGTCATTTTTAAAGCTTCCCTTATCTCAAATATAATCTAAAGTATCGCAGCGAAGTAGATCAGTTTATTCTGTCACGACGTTAAGATTGATTCCAAACAAATTATGTAATCTTTATATTATCGGGGAGCATCGTTGATAAAGTTGTCGGGTATGTGTCGAGGCCCTAATAATATCGTCGCGGGTGGTCGCTACGGTTCTTGGAAGGTCATCGGGAAGGCTTTATGCATTGCCTAGGAGCTCGTAAACGTCTCTAGGGCCCATAATTATGGGGCCTGGACCGTTTGCGCACGATGAAGTGGATAGGTAGAAACACAATTGGAGTGTAATGAATGGTCTTTGCTCAAATTCAACCCTAAGAGTTATACGATACAAGAGCCCTTTTATATAAACTATTATATTAATCGAGCTAAAATCAAACAAATTCAACTAGTTTCTGTTCATTTTTAATGTCCTTTACTTGTAGTATTTTTTTTATTTGTATAAAAAAAAAGCCAGGCGGATGTTCTGATCGTCAGTACAATCCCATCGTTCTGTATGAATATTTCCAGTGATTACTCTTCATTGTCGTGCGCAACCTAGAATTTGATATTCATTCAGATAGTACGAAGTGGGCGGACTCGCAATGATAATGTCATAGCATCAACATTGTGTGCACATTTAACGGAACCATGCATTAATGCAGACAGTGCTCGCGCCTGCTTCGTAATCTGCTCGCGTGCGGCGTTATAAGGTAACGAGCAATTCCGTTTTAATTCGTTTATTTCATCGTCTCTGCGACAGGAATATAAAGTGCTGATTAGTTTTAGAACGAAAAAAAAATATGCAAAGACAAAACTAAACACAAACAAACGGCAGGATCTATGGTCTAGGACCCTAATGTCTGGCCGTATGTTTTCGCGAGAGTTAAAAACATCTTATTTTTAGTTTATTAAATTGAAATGTTGGAATGAGAGCACAGTAATTTTCATTATCATAATTACATTTACTCATTGCGTTTTACTAGAAATAATCGATATAGGTTTCTATCGCTCCAAGACTTTACGTGTTGCGTTATTTACAACGTTTAAAGTATCAGCAACATTTATTACAAGCTAAACTTGTTGCCCAGCCGCAAAACTGCTTAAATGTTACACGCGTTTGTTGCATACGAAATCTTGTGTCAAGCACTGACTTGGCAACAGCTACGTTCTCGAATATAATGACGTTGGTCAAAGCGGTACATTTCACTGAAGTTTCAACCCAAGATTGGTAGTAATGTTTATTCAGTATATTTCTTCTCCTTTACAGAAGAGAATCATTTGATTTGTCACATCGTATAGTTTGGTAAAATTGATACAAATGTAACTTATATAAGTAGTTATGTATTCTTGTTGATGTAAACGTTGAAACAGTTGTATGTATAATGTTAGTCATTCCACACCATTATTGCTATCTTGTATATTACAATTTAATAATGAGATATTAGTTATATTATATTTGCTAGCACTAGTATAAAGTCTAGCAGTTTCCTAATTATTTATTTATTATTCATAAGAGTTGAAGCGTATTTGATTAATGAAGTTAAAAAGTACCTGTTTTCATTTCATTCAACTGGTAAAATAATGAAATGAAAGCTTTTTGACCATATCCAATTCGGATCTTGGACGACCCGATTGGCGTAGGGGAAGTTGAACCAGCCTCTTGTGTTTGCGGGTGTGGGTTCCATCCCCACTACTGGAAAAATATTGTGTGATGAGAATAGTGTTTATTCAGTGTCTGAGTGTTTACATATGTAATATATATTTATTTATAAAACAAAAGTTTGTTGAAGTATATTTATCAGTCATCTTATTCCTGGGACTAGAGAACGTTGTGTAAAAATGAGTCCTGAATATATTTATAAGTATTAAAATATTTTCACGTACATAACAGCTTTAACTGGCCACGTGACTTTGACTGAGTGGGCGTATAAATAAATAATTTAATTTTACGGCAAAATATTACACTTTTTAAGAGTATTATACTCTTTAAGGAGCATTTTTATTCAAAAATATTCAATATGTTCAGCTGACGTATATTATACTTTACTTATATATACTACGATATTTTTAAATAATTTGTTTTCCTGTAACGCATGTCCATAGTGGAATTCAGTTGTCGTCGGTAGACCGGCGTGAAGTGGAAGTCCATTACTCGACTACTACCATTTTTCGACTGGCGATTGGGGCCCACTTTATAAACAGGTGGCAACACATTTGAGACCCTGCGGGTGTTGCCAAAGTCCATGGGCGGCGGACATCGCGTAACATCACAATAAAAAAAACTGCCCGCAAGTGCCGCAGAGTCGCGACTCCATGGGCAACGGTGGTCGCTTAGTTGCAGCGTCACGCAGGTCACTTGATTTGCTGCGCCGGCCGACGCCGTCGCAGAAATCCACCGGGGCGAACGGCTAGCTTAGCCGACGCGTAAAGCACCGCGGCGACGTGCGTAGACGCGCCGCCGCGCCAGATCCGTTGCGACGTCCGACAAGCGCCCGCTATCTATTCCGTTTCCATTCCGCCCCGTCCGTATCGCACGAATCTCGGCCTTATTCCGTTCGACCGCGCGGCGCCGCGTCGGACCACCCAGGTCGAAACGCGTACGCGGCTACGTACACACGGCGACGCAGCTTTCGTACCGATTCCGTTTCGTTTTATACACCGATTTATGTTGCGGTTGGCGGAATAAGCGAGAATTTTTGTTCCGTAATTAGTTTCCCTCCTTTTTTACTTCCCGTCTTAATGCCGTTATTTCGCTTATGCTTACGTCATCAGCGCACACGTAGTCGTATACGTGGGCATGATTTTAAGATACATAATATATAATTATTTATATAACACGATTTACAAACTCCGATTAGCGATGTACTCTAATCGACCCAAACATTTCTTAAAGCGATTGTCAAAGAGTTGAACGCAGTACGGCAATAATCAGATGAATTTTACATTTTGCGATTATACAGAATTTTATACAGAGTCGTGATGGACATGCTTAACTAATATAAATAAATACGGAACACAGTATAATCTTGGCGTCAGCTATTTCAATTTTTGTGACATTTGAAACCAGGGAAACGTGTGGCGTGAGTTGCGTTAGCGATGCGTAAGACACTATTACACGGTCACAAGTCACTTCACTTACTTTATCGCGTTACCAACTGTACGCACTATCCTTGCATCATCACTACATAGTATAAAACAAAATCGTCCCTCTGTATGTTTGTCACTATGTATGTTTAGATCTTTTAAACTACGCAACGGATCTTGATGCGGTTTTTTACTAGAAAGAGTGATTCACGAGGATGGTTTATATGTAAGTGTAATACATTATACATATAAACCGTGCGAAGCCGAGGCGGGTCGCTAGTATTTCTTAAAGTAGGAAACATCGGGCCTCTTTTGTATGTTACAGTCAGCTTGCGTGACATATGTCCGTAAAGATTTGATGGCAAAATCGTACACGACTCGACCCACTTAGCTTATGTGATGTAGATCCAAAAACGATCGGATTCTTCATGTCGCTTCGTAAAAATTAAAACGAGTGAACCTGTTAGTTTATTGGCTGGGGATTAAATCTGTTGATGCATGCGAACATTTTCGTGCATTAAGCATTGCCAAGCTGTTATTATTCATATCACGTCATGACGACAGCTTTTCACTCTATCTATGTTGTATTTCCATTTAGGTGTCTGTATGAAGTTGTTTGTACGATCATGCAATGAAACATTCACGCGTTTGTGCGATTGTAAGGCTATTTATGACGAATTGTTTTTATAATACTGGCAATTATACGTGTGATAACATTGTCCGCTGAATGATTCAATCGGTCGATATCGAATAAATTTCAGTCTTCCTGGATTTTGATATTTGTCTGATCAGATCCAGTTTAATCGAGATAGGAATCCTCTAATAGAGCGTTTTTTATGTGAAAAGTTATGGTTGAGCAAGTGTTTCTAAACTTTAGAAAAGTGCACCCTGGTAACCTCACATCCAGACGAAGGGCGAAAGTAAAATAGTTCCAGTTCACGCCAGTTTTTGAGGCCGTTTTTTTTTTGATGAGTATAGTTGCAAGAACCGAAGCTGCAGCGTGGCCATGCCATAACAGAGAGGTCTAACCACAGTATAAATTTAATACGTTGGATTAGATGTTGGTTTAATGACATATGTATAATTCTTATTAATTTAAACTATTTATCCTGATTTTATTGGGTTTACATTTATCGTTTCAAATACTTTGAATTATTCACAGCAGTCACAGGGTGGACCAAGGATTCTGCGATAAAATCGATAAAATTTCTTTTGTTTCACAATGTGTAGTATCGCCTAAACAAGAAAATATTAATTAATAACCTTTTAAATCATAACCACTCAACTGAAGCTCTTTGTTTTTTTTGTTTAAATTTGTCTTTTCTTTTATTTAACCTCATTGTTAACTAAACTGGCTTGAAGATACGTGACACCTTCTTGCTTAATGTCACACCTCGTAAGAAGTGCTCATGTCGCGGGTACTTAATTTATTTAGTACATCGCGCAACTCTGCTTGAGTTCAATACGCCGTAAAGTTTGACTTCACCGTCCAAACTCGGATAAAGCTTTCTTCCGTTGTCTTCGCGTCGCGTCGTGGGTGGCATCGCCTTTCTTGTTTTTACTCAGAAAAAGGACAGCGAGAGAGAAAAAAAAACCGAAATCCCCAAAGGAAATTAGTCCCTCTAAAACACGGCTTGGACATGTGTTACTTTTTTCGCTTTAAAACGCGTCTCAGAGGTAAGATTTATGGTTTGGTTCCCTCCGCTCCGATATAAGCTTGCGGTCGTGTAAGCGTAAATCTGCCGGGGGATTAATTAGAATAAATCCGAAACGAAACAGATAGAGAAAGAGAGAGAGAGAGACAGAAAAAAATAAGGTCCGACGAAATCGGACGACTATTCCCGCTCGACATTTCATTACCACGGCATGTTTGAATTTTAAATCCTAGTATTACCTGAGGATTTTGTAGTATTTTTACGGCGTGATAAGGATTGTTTGCGTTGTTTAGACGGGCTGGTGGCGCAGGTAGGGCGTAGAACAGGTAGCGTAAACTGCTACCGTCCGACCTGAGTACACATCGCCGAGCTTAGTCATGCATTGTGCGTGCGCTAGGAGCGCCATACATCTAACACGGACGTGGACACGTTTTAAATAGTTACATTATATTCGTATGTAATCTAAATTTAAGTCAATGATTCGAAGTTCTCTGTTATTTTCGATCTCAATATTATTTAATGTTACCTCAAAGTTTTACGGTGGTAGGGCCACGCACTAGCCTCGGCTGTTGCACGAATGGGCAGGTTCGTCCGGGCCGGTCTTCTGTGAAGTCATGGTAATTACCACGACTTCACAGAAGACCGGCGTCAAGTAGAAGTATAATACAATAGCTTGTCAAGGCATCTGCAACACTCGGGTGTGGCAGATGTCCATAGGCGGTATTAACTTAACATCGGGTGAACTTGTCACAGAAAAAATGCATAGCACTAATGCAAGCATAAATGTATAATACACGGCTTTTATGATCTGATGTGAATCTATGTCAGATCATAAAAGCCGTGGCTTTTCTTTTGACATTTGAATTAAAATTTTAGTGATTTTAAGATTTTAGAGTTGTTAAATATATACCCCTTTAATGAAAATTAATATAATAAATGACTAATGAACGAAATGTACTTTATGGGAAAATCTGAAATTATAATCTGCCCTGCCTGCCTGGCCTGATCTTTCATGGGCAACCTTTTATCACTATTTATCTAATGTAAATACTGAACAATCAATATATATTTATTTTATCATTCAATTAACAGTTTATTATATTGTATGTCTTTCAACTTCCCAGTTTGTCTTCCAAAGTAGTTAAAAAAAATATAGGAATTTTTCATTTGAATAAATTATTGCATAAGTTCTTATTAGTCTTAAACTTTCGTTATAACTTTACTCAGCGTTAATAATTATAGCTTTGCGTGGGAATTTCTTATTCGTATCGATTACATTACATGAAAACAAATTAAATTAATTTCAATATTTATTTATGACAACTTATAATATTAATAATTATCCAAGAAATATTATTTCGATTGTCACCGTGCACTCCCAATGCGAAACTCCTACAGACCCTCGAGCGATTCCACAGACAAGGAATTAAGTTCGTTGTTTATCCGTTGCCACTCGAACTAACAAGGGCCCGATAAATGTCTGCGCAAACACATTGCTCTATCTGACACTTCTTATGCTGACAGTTTTTCTTCGGGCATTGGGATAGGAGCAGGTTCTCGAAGAGCCGAGTTAATCCTCTAACGAGAAAGAAACGACACAAAAGAGCGATACGATTTTTTAAATGACACCCGTGTGTCAAATTGAAAATTGGCATGAAATTAAATACACGATGCGTAATTTATAAAGTACCTGGAGGACCGAGCTTTGCTCGAAAATGACCAACTTCACGGTTAGACATTTACTTATGACATAGACATAATGTCTATTACACAAACTTGCAGAGGGGATAAAAAAATTGTCATTTTTCTTATGTTACGCTAAAGCTTCCTACGTTACATAATTATGTACACACATGTTTTTTTAACATAAATTATAACATTTATTTATGTTTGCCTTGTTTGTTTTTTTTTTATGCATTAATGTATGCCCGCCTAACTCGACGCTTTTCCAGCGTTTAATATTTGCGACCTCGGAATTGGAGTAAAGGTAAAGTAATGTACCCAAATACCTGTATTCAAAACGCGGCGTTCGACACGGCGACGCCGGCGAACGCTAGGAAAAGTTACTGGGTAAACTGTTTGTTTAGCGCGGAATTTAAGATCGGGGACACGCGGCGTTCTCACGGGTAATGCTTCCTCGATCGAAGTAAACAATTACGAGACAGTCGCCGAGAGTTATCTGGGCCAGGAAGCGCTGTCCACCCGTGACCGACTTCTGCTGCACCAGGTATGTTTCCACGGCACCGTTACCAATCATAATATATAATGATATGAAGCTAAAATTCTTCAAGAAAAGCTTCAAATGCTTAAAACCATTTAGATAAAAGACTTTCGTCGGTGTGGCAATCAGCCGTTTAGCTCAGTGGCTAAAGCGCCAGGTCGTGAATACCGAAGACGTGGGTTCGATTCCCAAAGCGGCGACAATCTTTTCGTACTTTTTCTACAAATTTTAATGTTTAATCTTAAGTGCAGAGATGAGTACTAAAAAAAATTAAAAAATAATAGTCTTTATTCATCAGGAAATATGACACAATTAAAGTATACTACTACTCGTAGCTCTCACACTAGAACAACCTGTGTTGTGGGAAGCTAGACACCAATCTGTGATTACAGAAATAATAATAAAGATTTAGTACAAAAAAGAAATAAAAACAAAATATTACGTAGAACGATGTAAGTAGAAGTCGTTTTTTTTTGAGTAAATAGTTTTAGTTTTGTTCAAGGGGCAGACGCTATTCTTTGTGTTATTTATTTATTTATTTAAAAATTTATTGTTTACACCCCAAAATAAGGCCAAACAAAAGGCAAACTTAATGCTAATAAGCATTCTCTTCCAGTCAACCCTGGGAGTAGTGAAAATTTGATGTAGGTACAAAACAAAATCCAAGTTGTATGTTTTTATATTATTGTTTATTCTTATTCTTCGATATTAAATAACGGTGGTTTTTATCATAATGATTGGTGATAAATATATGTATAATAACTCATTAATAATATGTTAAGAATATTAAACCAAATATACTGATGGTTATGTTCATGTTTTTTGAGTTGTTTTATTTTAAATATACTAAATATTTCTCCAATTAAACTCAATATAACACTACTATATAATATATATCTACTACTAGGCTATATGACCACAAATCTATTTCATGTTCCGTTATTTGAAGGTACGGCTTTTAATCTTATTACTTGAATTTTTATATACTTACAATATAGTACATTATCTTACACTCAATGTTGTAACAATGGAAACAGTGCCGATAGGAGGTTGATTTAAGAGTGAATCATCGATGTCGCGCTGGGGGCTGAGTTTGTTCAGCCGCTCGGCACCGGGCGCAGTCCAAAAAACGCCCCTGGGAACAGCCGTCCCGCCCGCCATTAACCGACTTTCGGTTTTTCTTCACCGCGGCCACAATCAGCGACGGTCGCGCGTCGATGATTGATTATCTATGTTTACTCTCGACTCTCGTTGTGTCATTGTTTGAACGCCCGTCTGGGTGGAATAGTTCGATGGGAATTCTCCGGGCAAGACGCGGCAGCGCTCACTGACGAAATCGGTAAACCTGCCATCTCGGTTTGCTATTTATTATAGATTAGTTGCGAGTTCCAATAGCTGTGCTGTAACTTTCGTCAACCCTCACGTTAGTAAATATTCCGAGGTCCTGTCTATCGAACTCAAGAGCTAGTGTAAAAAATGGAGGAATCACTTGTCCCCTACAAGTGATTCCTCAGTTTTACTGGGCAAGGACAAAAGGGTTAATCTACAACAGGACAGCGAGATAAACAGAACGCGTAAATCTTTTCCTTCACCTCGGCCTAAGCTGGCTTTGGTATGAAGGTATTTACGGCCTATTGTGTCGACTATTATCTCCTGTATAGTGCTAATTGAGCCATCCCACACCACGGCCTGCATTGTTTGCAAAAGTTAACCATAACGACGCCGGCGAACGCTAGGAAAAAGTTACTGGGTAAACTGTTTGTTTAGCGCGGAATTTAAGATCGGGGACACGCGGCGTTCTCACGGGTAATGCTTCCTCGATCGAAGTAAACAATTACGAGACAGTCGCCGAGAGTTATCTGGGCCAGGAAGCGCTGTCCACCCGTGACCGACTTCTGCTGCACCAGGTATGTTTCCACGGCACCGTTACCAATCATAATATATAATGATATAAAGCTAAAATTCTTCAAGAAAAGCTTCAAATACTTAAAACCATTTAGATAAAAGACTTTCGTCGGTGTGGCAATCAGCCGTTTAGCTCAGTGGCTAAAGCGCCAGGTCGTGAATACCGAAGACGTGGGTTCGATTCCCAAAGCGGCGACAATCTTTTCGTACTTTTTCTACAAATTTTTATGTTTAATCTTAAGTGCAGAGATGAGTACTAAAAAAAATTAAAAAATAATAGTCTTTATTCATCAGGAAATATGACACAATTAAAGTATACTACTACTCGTAGCTCTCACACTAGAACAACCTGTGTTGTGGGAAGCTAGACACCAATCTGTGATTACAGAAATAATAATAAAGATTTAGTACAAAAAAGAAATAAAAACAAAATATTACGTGGGACATTACGTAGAACGATGTAAGTAGAAGTCGTTTTTTTTGAGTAAATAGTTTTAGTTTTGTTCAAGGGGCAGACGCTATTCTTTGTGTTATTTATTTATTTATTTAAAAATTTATTGTTTACACCCCAAAATAAGGCCAAACAAAAGGCAAACTTAATGCTAATAAGCATTCTCTTCCAGTCAACCCTGGGAGTAGTGAAAATTTGATGTAGGTACAAAACAAAATCCAAGTTGTATGTTTTTATATTATTGTTTATTCTTATTCTTCGATATTAAATAACGGTGGTTTTTATCATAATGATTGGTGAGAAATATATGTATAATAACTCATTAATAATATGTTAATAATATTAAACCAAATATACTGATGGTTATGTTCATGTTTTTTGAGTTGTTTTATTTTAAATATACTAAATATTTCTCCAATTAAACTCAATATAACACTACTATATAATATATATCTACTACTAGGCTATATGACCACAAATCTATTTCATGTTCCGTTATTTTGAAGGTACGGCTTTTAATCTTATTACTTGAATTTTTATATACTTACAATATAGTACATTATCTTACACTCAATGTTGTAACAATGGAAACAGTGCCGATAGGAGGTTGATTTAAGAGTGAATCATCGATGTCGCGCTGGGGGCTGAGTTTGTTCAGCCGCTCGGCACCGGGCGCAGTCCAAAAAAACGCCCCTGGGAACAGCCGTCCCGCCCGCCATTAACCGACTTTCGGTTTTTCTTCACCGCGGCCACAATCAGCGACGGGCGCGCGTCGATGATTGATTATCTATGTTTACTCTCGACTCTCGTTGTGTCATTGTTTGAACGCCCGTCTGGGTGGGTGGAATAGTTCGATGGGAATCTCCGGGCAAGACGCGGCAGCGCTCACTGACGAAATCGGTAAACCTGCCATCTCGGTTTGCTATTTATTATAGATTAGTTGCGAGTTCCAATAGCTGTGCTGTAACTTTCGTCAACCCTCACGTTAGTAAATATTCCGAGGTCCTGTCTATCGAACTCAAGAGCTAGTGTAAAAAATGGAGGAATCACTTGTCCCCTACAAGTGATTCCTCAGTTTTACTGGGCAAGGACAAAAGGATTAATCTACAACCGGACAGCGAGATAAACAGAACGCGTAAATCTTTTCCTTCACCTCGGCCTAAGCTGGCTTTGGTATGAAGGTATTTACGGCCTATTGTGTCGACTATTATCTCCTGTATAGTGCTAATTGAGCCATCCCACACCACGGCCTGCATTGTTTGCAAAAGTTAACCATAAATAAGCCACGGAACGACGCGGGTGGGCCAGCTCTTGTGTCTTTATTATAAATTTCTATGAATACCGCCGCATCGATTTCAGGCTACACAATATTCCTTAATGTAAGCGAGTAAGCAAGCGAAACGTTCCGCTTTACGATGTTTGTTCATTGATCATAATAAAATTTTACATTTGTATTATTTTTTCCGTTCTGTTATGTGTCGGCCAAGCTTATGCGTACTGTGGATACGACTTGTTATTATTATTTTTTCGGATTGATTTTTAATAGTATTCATCGCCAAACTCAGCACATTTGCATTCTACGTGTAATTCAGCGCCGCATTGGATGTCGGTCGTAGATCAGCATTATTGATACGAACCTGAATGATGAGTAGCCCTCCATCCGTTCGATATTTATAAAAAATTAATAATTTCAACGAATGTCGTTCACATTAAGAACTCGAAACTCATCTATTCAATTAAAAAACCATTCCCGAACGGATACAGGCGCGTCCCGAGTTTAGTTTCACACGGGCATTATAAAAATAGCCCCTGGACTGGTGGGGGAGGGCAGGGGGGATGCGTGACGAAAGCGACATCTATGCGGAACGTTGCTAGGAGCGGGGTGCGCACTGAAGGGCATACAAATTGATTATGACGCGGTGACGGAGTGCCTGGACCACCCGCGTTGCCCTGATGCAACCGCGCAGAGATTGTTTGGATCCGCTCTCGAATCGCTACATTTCAAATACGAAACGGAACGTCATGACGGTGTTTACGCGTCCCCCACCACGCTCGGCGCCCCCCAAATAGCGTGTTTACATCTGTAAGTATACCAATAAATAGGATTGGAGTGGCTGTCGATGACGACCAGTATATATACGACCAGTATATATATGACGACCAGTATATACATATATGACGACCAGTATATACATATATGACGACCAGTATATATATTTCAATATATATAAGTTACTCTATGACGATTTTCACGATGGTAAAGCAACAACGGATTATGTAACATATCCAGGGCCGGATTTAGAGGTCTGGAGGCTTCAGGGCAGCAAAGGGCACTCATGGCCCGAAATTATTTTCCATTGATTTCTGTTAATATTTATTGGAATTATGTTTGTACAAAGTATTGTAGGTAAAGGTAAAACGCGAAAAACTATGAAAGGAAAAAATGTTTACTAGTGTTTACTAGTCTGAATTTGAATTCGATGTTGAGTAATCGGAAAAACGAAGGCGAAACGAAACAGTCAGAAAAAAAAAAACTAAAATCACGTGTTTGGGTTTCATGGTAAAAAAAACCCTCTGGATTATTCTGGAAGTGATATAATCTGGAATGGAATGTACAAAACCCCCGAAATTTCTAAACAGAAATCTTAATAAGCCATATTCAGCTTTAGAACGGTGAAAAAATTAACTCGTGTGATGGTTCACCGCTAAAAGAGGTTTAATCGAAGATATCGGTTACCTATATGTTAATTCCGTTAATTGATTGCTCATTACTTGTGGATGTATGCTGTAATAAACCGACAGAATTATATAGTTGCGTCTGATAACAAAAATTAAACTTTAATATGAAGCTATTTGTAGGCGCGTTAATCGTAGGTAGTTTCTTTATCAATCCGTTACAAATAGCTTAAGATACATGGCAATTTGTCTCGGCACAATCGTAAAAGATATTTTCTTGCCAACCACTTGTCTTATTAATCGAATAAAATAGTCGCTCAACTGCCTTCAGTGCGAAGTCTTTTGTTTAACACTACTTGTATGGGCTGTAAGTAATAAGTTATTCTGAACCAAAGGTTAGTGTCGGACTCCATTCAAAATTTTCAATTTGTTTTAATATTCGCGATTTGTGTGACTTTTTGTCTCATTATTATATTTATTTCAGACTGAACGGACCGTAATGTATATCGAGACTTATATTTCAGCGCTTATGTCAAAGTTATCTAGTAATAAAACTGAGCAAAGCTAAGCAAAACTGAACAAAGAAGTAAGCTTCCTTTTTTTTCATCCTTGGAAGAAGTCGGTGTTCCTATGCAATCTTGTTTTCGCGTAAACGCAAGAGTAATAATGTAATAGTCATAGTAATCATTAAGTAAGCTTAATGTTTTATTTTACCTATTTCCTTTAATGTATTTTTTAGATTTATCATATAATTGTATTAATTGGTGACAGATTGTATTCTACTGTCTTAATAAATTAAATTATTTAAATTTTAAATTTTATATGTGAAAATTTGTCAAGCGAATCCTCACTCATCAAACGTACTTACCTGGACGAGCTTGTCCTTAAGTGTTCGCGTTAGCATTCTAATAACATTTATACATATTCATAAAATTGATTGGAACAATTGACCACTTGTATTACAATATATATTCGATATTATTGCAGGTGTCGATAGCGTAGCAGGTGTATTGAGGTAATGGGACTCGGTTACTTACTCGAATTAAAATTATAGTGCTTCTATTTTACGTGTCTTCTGTGAGATAGAGCACCACTGAAACTTTGGCGTCGTTGAGCTATTCTTGCAGCA